TCAACCTTTGTATCAATGTCTAAGGATTAGTGGTTTGTTTTTAAGCTGTATGTCTTTGTTTTAAATTAATTTGGATTTATGGATCACTTAATTAGAGGTATCCGAGCTAATTTGAACCATACACTACCAGTCTTGTTGTTTGAAAATAGTTGTAATATCTGATATGAACAATCCTTTCCCACTTGATTGTGTTGACATTATAATCAGTGGTTATTAGAGATGTTGAACACCATCTGTTATTACAGTGATTATACTCCTTTAATGTAAAAATTATATTACATTTCATTTAATACTTAATTACGCTGTCAGTTTCTGTTGGAGGATATTTACAAGACTCCTGAAAACTTTTCATATCTGTCTTTTGATGTTACCTTCAGGTTTAATTAATATTTTCTAAGTAAACTTATTTTTTAAGTTTTAACGTTATATCACTGCTAAACAACTATTGTCAGCTTTTTATTGTGTCAACTTTCTAATGCCACTAACTTTTTTTTCTAAATTAAAGAAATAACTAGAAAATGTTTTGCCCTATTTATATCTAGATCTTAAACCAGATGCCTCTGTTCTGTCACCATAGTATACACATATTTCTCTAAGGTTTCATTTTTCTAACCCTTCCATTTAATTACTTCCATCTTTATCTTGTCTCTTCTTTCGACATAGTATGGCATTTTGATATGTTGATAAGCTTACTACATTGTATACATAAGTCACATAATGGATTATTTAAAGAAAATAATCGATAACTTCATGCTGCCGTAGTTATATAGTTTTAAACAAAGAACATTGGGAAATACAGGAAACTTATCGACTACTTTTTCCATAAGTGACTTGTGTAACCTGGTTATATATCGCCAAACTGCTTATGTAATGCTGAGCAAACAGTCGATAAATCTGATTGCTTGGTTCAAGATAAAGAATTTAAAACCACAGACATCGGGCATACAACTTCTTTTGTTTTCCACGAAAAAAAAGATCAAGCAAAACATTAGTTACACGAGTACTTTCCATGATCTAAATTCTGGTTTTCGACGAGTCCCAGAAGGAATTAAGAACATCATTTTCCTGTATTCTGGACCTTTACAGTGGAGAGATTAAGTTCTAACAATTCCCATTGTGCTATCATTTGTTAGCAGGCAATGACTAATAGATGTACATGTTAATAGATTTACCTGTGAAATAAGTATTTTTTAACGCAATGAACTCTTTGACCTTCATTTTAATTTTTATGCAGCAACTTATAAGAAATTTGGTACATTAGATTGTTGCTGTCCATTTCTACAAGAATAGAGATGCTACAGGGCTTATACTTGCCCTATTTATTTGACATCCACGAACAAATACGTGTGATCTGGAATAATATCAGATCTACAGGATGCGTCTTTACAGGTCTTATCTGAATTATGCAGTGTTACTCTCTAGAAATGTTATTGCTTAATGCATTTGTAAATGATGTTTTACTTGTATTGTAATACGATGTAGATCACTAAACAGCAAACAGGACATACTGATGACTAATCTTTTATACACTTAAGATCACCACACTGTTTGTATGATGGACTAACATAAGATATGTAAATGTGAATTTACATATTTGTGAATTTACAAAAGTTGGACTAACATGATATTTTCTTTGTTATTATAATTTTAAAAATTGTACTGATGATTAATATTGAAGTCTTTTCAGTAGAAAGGAGATGCTCCAAATGGATCTTTCTCTTAACTATCATGTTTAAGTGAGTGTAGGTCTATGCTTATATAACATTAGTTCCCTACGCAATGAGATTGATGTATGAAACTTTCGTAAGAGTTTCGTGAGATTATGCCATTTTAGTTAGCAAATCCGAACCCATTCAGGCGTTCAGAAACATCAATTGCTTTTTATTTCATGGTATTACTTTTAATAACCATGAGGTAAGTATGCAATTATATCCTATCCAAACCTATCGTTTACTATTATTATCAATTCGGCAATTATGACAAGCCTCAAAACTCGTAATGGTGTCAGTTTCCATGTTTAGAAACCGACCCTAATCGACTTAAAAATTACTATAAACAAAGACAGACATCTGACAAAAACTACAACTTAAACTAGAAATTGTTGTTAACAATTTGGCGGGCTTTTCACTTCTTTGGCGACAAGTTGACCGGAAGTTGACATTTATCCTGATAACGATATATGAGAAAGGTTCCTTGTTTGTAAGTCTCTACAACATATCCAAAGATGATCTTTGAATCTTGAAACGTTAAGGAGATATAACTACATAATAACGAAGAAATACACTTTTTAAAGGTTCAAACATATTTGACCCCTGTGACCTTGAATGTCAGTCAAGGTTATTCATATTTGCAAGCTTTATAATGTAACATCTGATGATCAATATATCACCAATATTAGTTCTCTAGACCTTGTGAGACTTGACAAGAAGATTGTTGAACACTTGTACCCTATTTTGTATATTTGAACTTTGACCCCATTAAGAAACCGGAAGTTGACATTTTGAGGGAAGTTTTCCTTATGACAATCACTAGGAAGTCTCCACAGAAGGTTTATAATCAATTTTCATCATTGTATGCCTTCTAGAAATTGAGAAACTTTCATTTAACGATTTTTAGTTAATTGACATCTGTGACCTTGAAAGTGGGTCAAGGTCATTTATATTATCAAACTTTGTTGTCGGTTACATATCCTTCCTGTATATGAAATATCAAGCATCTAAGCCTTCCAGAACTTGAGAAGAAGTTTTTCAAAGATTGGTACCCTAAATAGCTCTTTCCCAGTTTGTGCCTTACCGAAAACCGGAAGTTGAACTTTTAAGGAAGTTTTTCTTATGACAATCAATAGGAAGTGTCTACAGAAGGTTTATAATCAATTTTCATCATTGTGTGCCTTCTAGAAAGTGAGAAACTGTCATTTAACGATTTTTAGTTAATTGACCTCTGTGACCTTGAAAGTGGGTCAAGGTCATTTATATTAACAAACTTTGTTGCCAGTTACATATGCTTCTTATATGTGAAATATCAAGCCTCTAGGCCATCCAGAACTAGAGAAGAAGTTTTTCAAAGATTGGTACCCTTAATAGCACTTTTCAACTTTGACCTCCTACCGCAAACCGGAAGTTGAATTTGAGGTACGTTTCTCTTATATCACTCGACAGGAAATGTCCACAAAATATTTATGTCCAAAGTTGAAGACTTTCGGCAGCTTAACAAAGGAGAAATTACCATTTAACGATTTTTACATAATTGACTCCTGTGACCTTGAAAGTGGGTCAAGGTCATTTATATCAAGAAATCTGATAGATAATTGATCAGACATCTTACACATGAAATATCAAGACTCAAGGCTTTGCAGAACTTGAGAAGAAGTTTGTCAAAGTTTGTAACCCGAAATTGCAGTTTTCAACTTTGACCCCTACCAGAAACCGGAAGTTCACCATTTATCTAAATTTTTTTCTGACGAAATATGTTTGCAGGGTTATGTTTATAATCTGCTTTAAGCTTAAGTCAATAGCTTGAGCCGTTCTTGAGTTACAGCCATTTAGGTAATATCGGATATGACGTCATGGCGGCCATTTTGTTTTTCTGATGATTTTGTAAATGACACTAAATGGTAGAGGACATCTGGGGAAACCTTTCTGATATAAATTATTCCAAAAAAAGCCCGTTGGTAAAGATCTAGATCGAGTTTTTCCAAATTGTCGGCATTTTTAAAAGATCAAAGGAAATTTTCAAAATGGCATACAACGAAAGTGGTAAACGTTACAGAAAAACTAAAATCACTTAATTCATCGGAAGGACATTCTGCATCGATGTGTTAAAGAAATTTTCAAGAAAAATCAAAATTGAAAAAAAAAATTTTCAAATATTGACCCCACAGCGAGCTTTTTTATTAGACATATTTTGTATTATAATGGCATGGGGAAAAGTTAGAAAAGGAAATTGTCTACAAATAACATAATTGGACAAACTTTGTACACTCAACGGTTTTCGAGTTACGGCCGTTTTAAAGTTTTTAACTTATGACGTCATAGCGGCCATATTGGATTTTTGACCTACTTAAAAAATCTGCATCGTCACCTTCCAGTATGTACCTATAACATAGTCAATACATATTAGGTGTGGTCTTTACCGTTTAAAAGATTACGAACCCACAAAGTTCGGAAGAAAAATAATAATAAGAAGAAGAAGAAGAAACATAACAAAAACAATAGGTCTTTTCACCAAATGGTGAAAAACCCTAACTAGTCTCAATGTATACCATGTTAGAAAATACAACAACAAAAAAAAGTTCCCAGAGGGATTTTAGCATCCAACATTGGTTGATCTTTATATGCTCTTTTCCCTTCTTTTCTCTGGTTTTGCTCTTAATGATAAGACATTTGAACATTCTTTTGCAGAAATAGCAATGATAAGCAATAATCTTCACTAGTCAAAATCCAAGATGGCCGCCTGTCAGCGATTTTGTTTTTCTGTTCAGTCCCAAACTCAAACTGGCACAACTAGGGCCTTAAAAGAATCTATATATGAAATTTAAGAATGATTTAAACATTATCTCTACAAAAATAATGATAACAAACTTTCAGAGTCAAAATTTCAAGACGGCCACCTGTCGACCATTTTGTATGTCTGATCAGTCCCAAAATTAGATGGGCACAACTGTGGACCAAAAGGGACCTATACATGAAATTTGAGAAATACATATACTTTTCTCAAGAAATAGTGATATTAAACTTTCAAATTCAAAATCCAAAATGGCCGCCTTTAGAGTACAAGGGGAACCTACATGTGAAATTTGAGAAATCTTTTTTTTCCTTTTCAAGAAATAGTGATAACAAACTTCATTGAAAAACAGTTATTTTGCTATTTCCATCAGTCCCAAAATCAAACGAATAACTATTTGAATAGCCCACATCTGATGATAGTGGGCTAAAAAAAAAACAAGGAACAATTTCTTTCTCAATATGAATTATTTATTTCATAAATATAACAAGCTCCTACATTCTCTTGAACAGTGTTATAGGATTCTGTAGCTGAATAAAACACTGATAAACCATCACAATTCTCTGTGTCATTTGTATTCAGCGTTCAATATTTTACGTAATGAATTAATGAAATGTGAACTTCTTGTACAGCAATGAATAAAAGAAATTCTGACGATTCAATCCAGATAATCACAATGAGATGTATATCAGTTATTAGACTAGTGGGCTATGCTATTTTGCTGCAGTTAGATTATCAAAACATTTCATATCATCTCCACAATTATGTTTGTGGCTCAACATCCTGACATTTCAAACCATTTATGATTATAACATCTTAATGTGGCATATTATTATCACTGTATTTCAAGCCATGTTCATATTCATTTAACTCGCTCATATAAACTCAAAAGAAAAATTGAACGATAAGGCTGACTGCACATATAAACACTTGGTTAATAATGCATTGTAACAAGAATGGAAGGTTTGTAATGCTTACAAGATGTGTTGAAACTATTATCTATACTAAAACATTGACAACAATTAGTAACATATACATATAGTACTGTTACATTGAGTAGGGACATTTTAGTTCAGACTTGCTACTTAGCCTTCGTTTTGTTGATGTTGGCAGATGTTATTCTTGAGTCGGCCATTACTGTTTTGTTGATAGTATCCCAAACAACTGTCTCCATGTATTTGATAGTCCCTGTCTTGTTTCAAACTCGTTCAAATGTTTCCATGTATCTTCTAGTCCCGTCCATGTTTCAAACTCACACAACTGTCTCCATGTATTTGATAGTCCCTGTTATGTTCAAACTCGCTCAAATGTTTCCATGTATCTTCTAGTCTCATCCATGTTTCAAACTCACACAACTGTCTCAATGTATTTGATAGTCCTTGTTATGTTTCAAACTCGCTCAAATGTTTCCTTGTATCTTCTAGTCTCATCCATGTTTCAAACTCGCACAGCTATCTCTTTGTATCTTCTAGTCCCGTCCATGTTTCAAACTCGCACAGCTGTCTCCTTGTATCTTCTAGTCCCGTCCATGTTTCAAACTCGCACAGCTGTCTCCTTGTATCTTCTAGTCCCGTCCATGTTTCAAACTCGCACAGCTGTCTCCTTGTATCTTCTAGTCCCGTCCATGTTTCAAACTAACACAGCTGTCTCCTTGTATCTTCTAGTCCCGTCCATGTTTCAAACTCGCACAGCTGTCTCCTTGTATCTTCTAGTCCCGTCCATGTTTCAAACTAACACAACTGTCTTAATGTATGTTATAGTCCCTGTCTAGTTTCAAACTCGCTCAAATGTTTCCATGCATCTAACAGTTCCTGTTATGTTTCAAATTCACACAACTGTCTCTTTGAATCTTATACCCCGTTCATGTTTCAAACTCACATAACTCTCTCCAGTCTGAGAGTCTGTCATATTAAAAGCCCATGACTCTCTCAAATTATTTGAAAATCTTGAGCAATGTCTGTTCACATGACATTCTTCATGATTCCAACAGCATCCTGACATATAAAATCACAAGTCCATCATACGATCAGCTCCAACTCTGCATCTAGCTGTCGTTTACATTACCTGTTCTATCAACTTCCTGTGTCCTATATAGCCAAAGCTTCTGTTATGACTCGGACGTGAATATTGTCATCCTTGATTCAGCTCATGGACTAGTAGATGACTCTCTATATCTAACAGCATCCTGGTAGGTCAAAGATCCCAGAACTGTGTGAATCTCCAACTTGTCAGGTCACAGGCCACAAGACTCTGGTATGATAATAAATCTATCATGCTCCTGGCAAGTTTAAAGACAATGTGATGGTCACATAATTTCCTCTGTTCTTCACACAGCTGCCTGCCAAGCGGTGAGTATTCTCATCACAGTGCCCACAGAGAGCTGGGGAAGGTTTGCACAAAGCACAGGCAGTGTAGGAGCTCCTGAAGGTACAGGTGATTACTACCATAAACATTTTATAATACAAGAGAGTATCAATTCAGCAACAAAAGAATGTACCAAATCATAACCACAATTCATTTTTCACTCTTTTAAGCATTCCAAGTGTTATCAGTAAAGCATTTGTTTGTGTATCTACCTCTGTCATAATGTTACAAAATTTCATTGTTATACATCTTGACAATTACTGAAAACAGTGGCTTACAAATTGAAATATCAGCCTACACTGGAATTTTATCACTGACATATCGGTGATCCAAACGTACCTTCTACAATGACTTTAGAGATCTGTGTAGGGGTGGGTATCTCAAACCAGCAGAGATAGGCAGAGAGATGTGAAGTTTCCTGGCCTTTTAGCACTTCTCCCTGTAGGTACTTAACCAACAGGTCCATATTATCTGCAAAACCAGCATGGTTTCATTTCAACAAGTTTTATCGACCAACTTGTATTAACATCAAATGGAGCTTTACTGTTTCAAGAGCAATTATTAATACTGTAAATGTATGTATATTTTAAGAGTAATTATATTTAAGCATTTTATGGACAGATACTTTTTAATTACAACATTGATAAAACAAATTGGTGTTCCTGTATGATTTGTTTATAGAGCAATTATTGTGGATCTCATCATGGCATTAATTAACTAAAAAGCGATAATTCGCTAAAATTTGCCTCGCATTAAATATACACTTAGTGGTAAGGTTACGTCTATTACCACAAACTTTCTGAATCATCATTACAGAAAATGGGTATCCATAGCTTTATCACAGAAGACACAAACATGTCTACACAGTGAATTATTAAAATGAAAACAAAACATGCCAAAAAAATGCCCACTTGAACAAAAGATTTTCAAACATAAAGACTGCCCCTGGATATGAGATAGGTATTTTCATGAATCTAGAAAAGAATTTTTATGCCACTTTTTCAAGGTAATTACAATAACATGTTTTTAATGTTTTTGAGAATCCTTATTATAAATCAACTTGCAATTTTCCTCTTCAGGCTTCATTTTCAATAAAACTTCTTTTTGTTCAGACAGCTTGGTAGCATTCAAGTTTCATTCCTTACCTGTCTGCCACCTGTCCAGAATATTTTCCAACTTTGACTTGAGAGCCATGAGGAATTCAAGCTTCATGAGCTGTTCTGATGTCTCCTCTCTGCCACCAAGGCAGAACCTGCTACCGTAGTAACTTAGGACTAGTTTTAGCTGACACACTCCTCCTGTCCTCTTCCCAAACTGTGTCCGGTCCAGTGACTAATTAAGAAATAACAAATAGCTGTTTAAAAATCTTAATATATGAAACACTGACTTCAAATTCTCAACTTCAAAGTCTCCCATGCACAATTAACAAGCCCAGTTTGAAGTCTTTACAGTAGATGACAATAGTCCACCTGTTACATTAGGGACATACAATACAAAGGGATAAAAAAACTGGCTATATCCCTTTGCAACACTAGAGCGAAGAAATCCTCCTTTTCTAGCCTTGCTGTGTTAACACACTATTGTTCTCAAAAAGTACATAAATAATTTTCTCAAAATATACAGTAGAAGAAAGCTTAATAATTTTCAAACTGATTGTGTTAACTTTTGTGACAAACGACTTCTTCTAACCTTTGATATTTATCAAACAAAATGCATGTTTAAGCTATTTACAATTGAAATACCACATACATTGTATACCACTTTCAGCCAAAACTATGATGGGCCTTTTTTCTTAACCCTCCTTATCATATGCCTCTGTACATATCAAGTCCAATGAAGTGAAACCTCTGCTATGACTAGTCAATATTTTACTGATGAAAAAGAAAAATCTGTTATGTTATTCCTGGGTGACAACCACCAGTCTACAATAAAACCTATAGTTACCTGGTGAAGATCTACATAGGAAGGAATAGATTCCGGTTTCTCTTTTGTCACACACTCATACACAATGGAGGACAAGATCTGAAGGAAGTCGACATCCTGTTGACAAAGAAGAGAATATTCACATATTCAAATGAAATTGCTATAGATAACTACAGCAGCATATTACAAGAGCAAACAGCAGCACATTTTCTATCAATACAATATCATGGGTTCTGATGTTTTACAAGTCATGCTGAAACTGATCAAGGATGTTAAGATCAAAGTCGACATGGATAAAGAATTAAACATTGTGTAAAATACCTTCATATTCTTTGTGTTGAGGAAGTACTCCGTAAGTGCAAGTAGTCTTGGGTCAGATGTAAATGCTTTCACAACATCAGGCTGCAATAAAAGATCAACATGATACATGTGTTTCAATGTTAAAACATCCTAAAAAATTCTGTATCAGTTTCTCTGTCTCCAGTCAGTTATTACTTGTCATATGATATAGGACTTATCATCTCGTTACAAAAAAAGATAGCGATTTTTAAGGAGCAAAAGATAAAAGAGATTAAACAGTTGTACTGTTTTCATTTTACATAGCTGGATTTTTTATATATCAAAGAGATTTGATAACCTATCCAAGATAATCCAAATTTATCTTCAAGAACTTCACCGTGAGCTTCAGAAAAATCACTGTGACAAAACAGGCCATCTTAAAAAATAGGTGGATACATGAACTATATGAACTGTTAAATTGTCTCCCTTCTAAATTCAGAAATGTCATCTTGCGTAAGGTTTAATGTTATCTTCGGGCCAGGACCAATAAAGAAGCAACTTAATGCTCAAAGAACAAAAAATTTAAGAGGACAAAAGCTACACCAAAGGAAGAAAATCAGAGCCTTTATGAATGAATTTCCTCTCTTATGTTCTCTTACCTTTACTGAAGAATGGCTTGAGTGGTCACTGGTCAGTGACTTGGCCAACATACTTCTGTAGCCCTTTACATAAAAAAAACATTACATTTTTGATACAGTCATTTGTAAACTGATAGGACAATCTTGCAATAAATATGAGAATTGGGACAGGGAGTAAGATATCCCTACCAGTAATTTTTTTTATCCTCATCAACTTTTTTTTAAAGACAGCATAATATCTCCTGTCTAAAGCCTTAAACTTAGCTGTATGTCTTTCACAAAAGTTTCTTTTTACTCTATATACTAAATTTTATTTCTATGACACCACTTCATGAGTAAATGTAATAGTTTTTAAGTAATAAACTCCACTGTAGTAAAACTAATGAACAAGCTGAAAACCCGTAAAAACCCGTAAGATAATTGAAATTAAAGTGATTATCAATCTGAGAATAATATTTCAAGGAAATTTGGAAATGAACATTAATGTATGGAGGTTAACAGATAAAAGGGTTAATACCAAAGCATCATCACTGCTGAAATGAATTAATTCTTATTCTGAATTTGTCATGTAAATTCAAGTGCTTTTGAGGAATACCTTTGGGTCTTCTACATAAGACAAGTGGCCTGCCCGCTGTTTGACATACAATGTGCCGTTGTTTTGTAACACCAGTCTGGAACATAATCCACACAGGTTTAGCAATATAGTGCATCAAATGAAGTCAACAACATAGTGTAGTTTATCAAACCAACAGGGATCTCTCCTAGTTTACGAGGCTTTTGTTTACTGAACAATAAAAACCTGTTGAACTATTGATTATAAAACACAAAAATCAAATCTATATACCCAATACAATTTTTGTTTGGATAATAGGCCAATATCGTGGACCAATAATTTACCTGCAAATGTATGGAGGTTAACAATAAAAGGGTTAATACACCTTATTTTTAAAAGATATAATAACAATAAACAACCTGCCCGCTGTTTGACATACAATGTGCCGTTGTTTTGTATATTCCACACAGGTTTAGCAATATAGTGCATCAAATGAAGTCAACAACATAGTGTAGTTTATCAAACCAACAGGGATCTCTCCTAGTTTACGAGGCTTTTGTTTACTGAACAATAAAAACCTGTTGAACTATTGATTATAAAACACAAAAATCAATATCTATATACCCAATATATGTTTCATACTCACTGTAAATTGTTCCAATTTTTGTTGAGATGGAAAGTAATAGGCCAATATCGTGGACCAGTTATCTTTACCTGCAAAACAATCACCTATATTTTTAAAAGATATAATAACAAAAATAACTTGCAATATTTCCGAATCTGTTTCTTAGGACATATCTAACAAATACCTTAAGCCTTGGATATGATATTGTTTAACATATGCAATTAATTTCAACCAATGTATACGTTTTCTGCATACCTCTTCTATGATATCCAGCTCTGGTAAAAGACAGGGTGCTGATGTACTGAAGGAGACATTCCTATATACATCTGTATCCTGAAAACATAAAAATACACAAAAATATGCCTTAAAGTTTTAAAATAAAAGTAGACGCTAATTTAACAGTGTGAGGTAAGGTTCTAGATAACAGCTGATTTCATGATGTACCTTCAAACTGTGTTGACTTACTAAGAGCTCTTTCTTGTCAAGCTTTCATTGATAGCTTAAATTATATTTTTAAGAATTCTTGTCTTACTACCGATGAAGGGAAGGTGTGAACATTTCAAGTACTGTAGTACTGAACAAAGTATTGATAGTATTGTACTGAAGTACTTCACCAATTGAATTCCTTAAATTTATGCAACAAGCTCTCTGATTGGCAGAGCCAAGTCTTCGATTGTGGGTGGAGCTCTGTGCAGACATCGGCATTTTACTAACACTCGACTGTCGCGAGAGGTTAATTGGAAGAGTCAAGTCACAGGTGGCTTAATTAATTGGGTTGTCCCAACACAATGATACCTTGCTTTTCTATCGATGGTACAACGAGAAAACGAAAGTTACTCAGTACAGAACTAATTTACGTACAAAATATATATCAACATTGTTTTCAAACTTCAGCCGTTTAGGTGGATGTGATGCGGCCGTGCCGGCATCTGCCATCATTTTCGTTTTAAATGCACTTTTAGTTTCTGGCGTTTGCATGTTAATGATCTTATCTATCACCATTCGTTTGTACACCTGTGGCATTTCCATGGAATTTACCTCACTTGGTAATAAATATCGCAAGTTATTAAGATTGCTGACATCACATTTCTTGAATTCTGACGCATATTTCGCCAAACCTGGGTCAACCTGACGTAGAAAATTTTGCGTACTGTTGCCGTCGTCGGACATTTTTCCAGCGATTACTTAGTAATTGTTATGTAACTGATAGTGTACATTAACTACGCCTACCAGAACAAATTGGGTGTCAGATCAACTATTCAGGTTGTCTAAACTCCGCCCCCGACCAATCACAGAGGTCGTTGTATACTTGACTCAATTATTTGAATACTTCAATACAATAGTATCAACACTTTGTTCAATACTATAGTAAGTGTGTCGTTCACACCTTCCCTTCATCGGTAGTAACTGAAAATGGCTTTTTCATGCTTTAACCAGTTTCAGTCTCTGAATAAGACCTTCAAAACTTAATTGAACACAGAACGAATGCATCAGTCCTTATTTTTTGCTTCATTTATGTACTCTCGTATATATCTAGTATTCTAAGCTCGATTAACCATGACTGAATGAATTTCGAGCACCAACCATCTTTGTTTCACACATACCTTAAACTTGACCTCCATGGGTACATAGCATGGGTGTCCAGTGTCCACATCACGAGGGAGAACAAGGCGAGGATCGGCAGCCATCACATAGAGGTGACGCAAAGCCTGTAGGTGGTATCTTCAACACAGACATAATAAGCATTGTTAACAAACATAACAAAATGTTCAAATATACAACACCAGTCCTAATCATCCAGCTAATTTAATTAAAGCGATAATACCTTCAACACCATTTTTGAACAGTATCAAATAAAAGGACACATTTTTGATGTCTGCATGACTAAAAAGAGATGTGATAAAGTCCTTGCTTACCTGTTGTCATTACTGTGTATAGGGAACTTGGGATAGAAAGCACACAGCATCACGGCTATAGAGTCAGCTGTGGTCTTCAGTGAGTACCTGGAACAGAGTCATTTAGATCTTACTACAATGTACATACCACAATCGATTTGGTTAAAAAATTCCAATAATTTTGGCAATTTGTTATATTGTCCAATCGACAATATGAAATCTTTTGTAATGAGCCAATTCATAAATGTGCCAGAATGGCTCCATTGGTAAGAAATTGGCAAAACCTTTTTCTTAAGAACAGTCGACACACATTCCTCATTAAATAAGATCTGATAAACACTTTACACTGGAACATTGCAAACCTCTGTCTTACCTGCCCCCGCCCAGGAAGAGAAGCCCCAGAGACATGCTGATAGCCATGTGTGAGCCATACATCACCCCAAGACTGTGTGGGCCTACACGAGCCCGTAACATTCGACACATTCGCAGGATTTCCAGATTACCAGTCCCTGACATCACCTACAACATCCGATAACACTAGTACAATCAAAAAACTGTTATCAATCTAAAAAGCATGTAATGAGAAACAATGCATACCTGGTACTTAGATATCAAATTTCTTACTACAATGTATCAAACATTTAATTTTTTTGTAAAAATTTCAAACTCACAAACTCTTCGCTTTTCTATCTAGACTTAGAATTAAAGGCAAAAAGAAGAGGTGACTTACATAGATATATCCTTCCAGATAAGGAAAGAGTGTATATGATTATACATACAACAAACTCACAGAATTTATGTTTTTAAAGAGTGATCTTAATGAAAATATCAACGTTTATACAAATCAAATCTAATGCTAGGTTCAGCATATCTTGTATACAATCAATTTTCTTTTCATCTCCACAAATTTCAATCATATTACATGAATAGGATTAGATCACTGACAAACTAAACATCACTGCTGAGCACCAAAATCTAATCCTACCTTGAACTTGATGTTATGATACCATTCCGCAAATATGCACTCAATCAAGTTTTGCAAACATATTTCTTTGATCATGTAAACTTTGACGTGGCATTATATGTAAACATCAACTGGTAAAGAAAACACTGAAGACAACACCTCGTAACGGGAATAATCTTGGTTCATGAAAATTTTATAAAATGTTTAATATCTGCTCTAAACTGTGAATTAACAGATCAAAAAATGGTAGGATTGATGTTATTTGTTCCTGTTAAGCCCTACTCCTTGTCATCCCCTATCGTCCAGTTTTGAAACACTTACCATAGCAAGTGCTAGGAGAATAGACATCATGGTGTTCTCAACTGTGATTTTACCAGCCTGTTCCACATGACTTGGACAGGACACAATCTCCAGAGACATTCGCATACACTCTTTCTGCAAACAAAGACCAACAGGGCATATAACTAGGAATCTTATCTTTCAAACTTTGAAAATCTATACATTTAATAAATGACTTCATCGACCTTATCAATAATTCATGACACAAAAGTGTAAAAACATTCCAATCTAAGGAAATAGTTTCTAAAATAAACACAATCTGAATATAAGTCTCACATTTGTGACACTTCTTATAATTCATGTCCAATAGTATAATGTACAGATTATGCTTACTTACCAGAGTATCAAAAGCCTGCTTGTTGGCTGTCCCAGCAAACTTCAGACCAATCACCATACAACCTCCACCCACTATATTACAGTACGCCTGGCTACAAACATGGTGTGTAATATGTTATCTTCAGAAATGTCCTTTTCACATGTATCTAACTTGTCATTACATGTAATACACTCATGTCATCCATGTCATGTGATTCATGCATAATTATACCATTATGCCATAATTTGATTATTTTGGCAGTGAAGAAGGAACATCCATGACAAAATTTGCTAGCCTTACAAATTACCGTAAATATTGATAGTGCGCACTAATTTTTTGCAGATTTAAAAAAAAAAAAATCTACAGAAAAATTAATTGACTTTTATTCAATTATTGAAACCACAATTTCTATAAATAGTAAACAAATTTACGCAGGTGACCTTACAAGCATGAAAGGCTTGGCTGATTGTATAATTAACGGTTAATGACAGTTAACATGACTTTGACTACATTCAATGTATTGTTAGAGAGAGAGCTAATATCGATCGCCGATAGTTTTAGAGAGGTCAACCAACTTTGGGCATTGGTGGGATGGGCTTGTGAAATGTAAAAACTTCCGTCTGTAGAGTGATATACCGTAATGCTAGCGTGAATGGCAGATGATTAAAACATTTTATTTTTTTGTTGTTTTTATACTTTTACATATAACTATGTGAAGGGAGGTAATCCAATATGGCGGATGCAGAACTCGGGAATGATAACCCCCGGAATGGCATGTACCTGCGTATAGTGTGCACCCCCTTTTTGACACGACAGTTTCAGCTTAAAAAAGTGCGCACTATACGCGAATATTTACGGTATTGACAAATTTCTATAAATAGTACAGGTGATCTTGAAACATTCAATGTATTGTTATAATATCAATAGTTTTAGCAAACTCCCTTGTGAAATGTAGTCTGTAGAGTGATATAACTGCAATGGTTGATGGTTTTCTAAATTATCCATGGCCTATTTGAAAAAAATTATTGTGCACTATTTAAAGTGTTAAAATTAATATTGAAAAAAATAACTTTAAAAAAGACAAAACATATATACTTTGCGCTCATTAATAAACTTCATTTCCTCAAACAATATCTACCTCATTGTCTCAAAGTCCACAGGAGTGTCATCATCCTGAACTTGTCCTTGAGTGAAAGCATACTTCTGTATGATCTGTAGAACCAAAACTTCACTTTAATATTTCATCAAACCTGACTAGGAAATACAATGAAGCATTCTATCATCAAAGCTGGAATTGAAATTTACATCAGGAATAATGTTGGCTTTCACTTTATCATTGATTAGATATATGTGGAGTACAGTCTTGAAATTAGTATAAATAGGGACTTACAGGTGGCAGGTTTCCAGTAAGCCATTGGAAGGTTGGTATAACAGAATCCCACATGACCAATCCACGACTCAATGTCTAAAAAAAAAAATCATAATTAAAGCACATTTTTTATACTTCATTGTTTGATTCTATAATGAATAAAATACAAGTTTTACATTTAAAACATTTGATATGCAACATACCTGTTTTACTTTTTAAAAGTTGAAAAAAGAAATCAAACCATATTTCAGTTTACAACATTCAACCATTAGTCAATGTAAGCGTGTTTTCAATGGTTGGAGAGTTAACTGATGAAATATTTAGCAAATGTGAGTCAGAAACTTAGAAACCATAACCATAAATGCATTGTCTATAATAGAAACAGTCTAAGCTTACCCTTAACATAAGAAAGTCTGGTCGAACATGGTCCAGCATAAACTGTGTATCAGACGCAATCAACCATTCAGCAACAGCACTGTTGGAGAGGATAAATGTAAAAAAAATGACATCTTATTTCATCCATGCTGATAACTATGGATCAAGTGGAACCTACATACTTGAGAAAAATTCATACAGTACTTTCGTAGAAATAGCCATAACAAACTTTCATTGTTAAAACCATTTCATAATGTGGGCAAAAACCAATTTTCTAGGACATGTACAGTGGATTTTTACTTAAAAATTAAACTCATATACAGTGGAATTTTACTTGAATTATAACTCATATTTGATCCTATTTATAGTGGGTTTTAAGAATCTAATCAATCCTGTTTAAGCTATGATAGTATACAATTGTTATACAAAAATCGTCTCCATGAGCAAGACTTATGTTAAATTACCTGTTGTTGGTTTTGAAGTAGAGCATACCGAGAGCTAATGTAGCCCCAGGAGACGTAACATCCACATTCACACTGTCACCCTCCTGTAGCAAAGGAAAAGACATTTGGTAAGACTAAACAAACATGTAATTTTCAAGTATTATGATAAGTCTATAAGTTTTTATTTTGTTTAAACTGATAGTGGTTTTTTTTCTTGTTAACTTCACACAAAATGACCTAGTAGATCATATGCTAGAAACAGAAGAATAATAGGCTTAAATTACTTGTATCTTTAACAATGAAACAGGACATATGATCCAAAAATCTGCTTGCTTCTAAGTATTGATGCATTACCTTAATTTGACAGCTTGGTGACTTGTACCTTTCCTTATTTGGCCCACTCTATAAAAGATAACCCATAGAAGTTCAAATTTATGAAGGAAGTTTATAATTATTTCTAATATTATTTACAGAAATGTTTTGTCAAACACAAATTTTTGTCCTTCCTGACCAAAGTTACATTAGAATTCAATTTAAATAGCAAAATCTAACAGGACTTGCTGGAAGTTAACTATTGGTAAATTTGTAGCCCAAGACATGGGTTAATGAATTATCAATGTGTCCAGAAATAAAATGAAAAATAAGTGGGTTATAATTTCCAAAGTACTCATTTCAGATGGTATTTGCCCGTCAACATTTCTAAGACTTTTCTACAAACTTTTTATCTTGCCTTAAAAGTTCTTACCAATGGCCTTTTGTGTCCACCAACCATGAAGTGATACAATGTGTCGGCCATACTGAGGTCGGGGGTGCCAACAATCTCACTGCCTCTCTGTCCAAACAAAGCAGCATTGTGAGAGGTCAAAAAAGGTACACAAGAAACACAAAATCCAAGACTCACAGATAAATGATATTAAACTATTTATCATGTGAAACAGTACTTAAGACCATGTCATTAAGAGTAGAAATATAACTAGTAGATTTCAGAAATATGCCTAACAGATTTTAGAAAATATGCCTAATAGATTTTAGAAAATATGCCTAATAGATTTTAGAAAATATGCCTAATAGATTTTAGAAAATATGCCTAATAGACTTTTTAATTCTTAAAATATATAGATGGTGTGATCTGATACAATGGTGGCCAGGAGTTGAATTAAGAAGCTTACACTTTGACCCAAGAGCATGTAACTGGATGAAATTTGGACAGTCATGGCCAGCAAGTCCACTAGTTTAGTTCTATATTCCAGGGTCTAAGACACTGACCATTCAAATTGAAATTTGACTGCCTATTGACATATTACCTTATCACCATGTGGAATTTTGAATTCCACATCCTACAATTGCCTTTTTTAACAATGATTAGGTGGATGCACATAAAAAGGAAGGACACTATAATATTCACAGATCAAGGGCTCAATAACATATAATAAAGCTCTTTTTAAAATGTTGACAGTCTTACCCCAAACATGACAAGTCCTAGAGCCATACCAGCAGCAAGGGAATAGGATTCGCGATCATTACAGTTCTCCATCTCTGGTCCAGGAGGTCGACCTACATATTACAAACGTCACCCTTTCACATACGCTGTGCTTTTATACCAACAGAGTTCATATCAAACATTATCAAATAAAACCCTTTAAGAAAAGTCATTGTATTTTATGTATCACACAGAAGAAAAAATGATTTTAAGATTCTCGTATGCTTAATTTATCTCTCTGGCAGTTAAATATCTCTAAAGAAATATCCTAGAAATTATGACTTCAAAATTAAGACCCCTAGCATCATTGTCAAGTTCTAGAAGGATAAAACAGCTGTATCATGCAGTTTAATTGTTTGACTATAACGTATCTAACTCTAAATTATTAGAAGGCACTTTTTTACTTGCGTGTCTTTTGTACGATCTTGAAAAGTGACATCACCGGAACACAATAATTATAGTGATATTAGTGATATACATTACTTTTGACATGCCTATATCTGTGATTGTATAACATATGTCTTTATGTTGTACACCAACCCCCGTCTCTGATATTTCATACCTAATATCACAATATCTTCCCTAACACCCCTCATTTATCTTTGACAAAGGAATCACTGCCATGTGTCAGTAACCTGATAAAAATATAAAATATCCCCCTAATACTCTGTACACATCTCTAAGAGAAGGACCTCCATTGTGTGTCTGTGGGTGATACCCTGAAACAGTATCCCCCTCCCTTCCCAAAAACACCTTCCCTTTCTCTGACATCTGAACCTCCTCTATGTGTCTGTTAAAATATCTCTCCCTAAAACCTTTTACCTATCTCAGACAGTAGAATCTCCACTGAGCCTGTAGATGGTATATCTTAAAACAGTTTCTTCCTTTCCCTCTACCAATACCTTTTACTTATCTCAGATAGTAGTATCTCCACTCTAACTGTGGATGGTATATCTTAAAACAGTTTCTTCGCTCCCCTCTACCAATAACTTTTACCTTTCTCAGACAGTAGAATCTCCACTCTAACTGTGGATGGTATATGTTAAAATATTTTCTTCCCTCCTCTCTACCAATACTCCTTACCTATCTCTGACAGAAGAACCTCTGCTGTGTGCCTGTGAGCTGTCCCTTGGTACACAAGTCCCACCCCCAGCACTCCGGCTACCTGTACGTTGTGAGGAACATTTAATTCGGTGGAAGTTGGAGGCAGTAGTGCTGGAACATGAATACTCAACAGCTTCATGGTCGCCAGATCCATTGTACCTCGTCTATAAAAACAATAAAATACCTCCGCTAAAATCAATCAACAAAAGGAATACAGGTGAAACAACATATGTTAATCCCATGTCTAGGGATACCAATACGGAAATAGTAACAATGAGTCAAAATTTCAAGAGGGAAAAGCGAGCTATCAATTTTAATGATAAAGAGATAGGGGACACTGAAAATAAAATCTCTGGACAAGATTAAAATGCTGAAAAATACAAAGGGTTATAATTTTTTTTAAACATGGTCAAATTACAATGCTGTTCATGAGAACACAAGCTTCAAAGAAATTAGTTAAAAACTGAAGGAGGAGATATCATGACAAGGTGAAATTGCTAAAAAGACCAAGGGTAATACCTGTTCCCAAAATTGTGAAATCACAATGCCATTAAGGAAAACAAGATTTCATGATGGTTATACAACCTACCAAGTTTAATGAGAATTCAAGAAAGACTGAGGAAGAACATCAATGTGCAAAATTAAAGTGTTAAAAAAAGAAAAGGCAAAAACTCCTTCAAAAATTGTTGAATCAAAGTTTCAACAGAATCGGTTGAAGAGACCTCGGGATGAAATCAACATTTCCAAAACAACAAAGGGCAGTATTTCTTTCAAATAAAGTGGAACAAACTGTCATTCAAGAAAAAACAACTTAATGTCATGGTTGATTCAAAAGTGACAATAATCCTTATCTCAAAGTTTTAACAATTCAAAAATTCAAGTTCTGATCTGATCAACATTTAAAATCTTCTAAGATATTAATCAAAACTTACTGATGTTACTACTGAATATCAGTCAAGCAATTCTTCTAAAGAATTAACATACAGACATATATAATACAACACACAAGTTATAAATGCTAAACAGGAAAGATTTAGCACAGTTATAAGTGCTAAACATGAAAAATTTAGCACAAACGGGTTTCTGAAATTTCTGAAATGTTTTGCATTACAATCTCTTTATACTACACCAAATAAGTATAAAGTTGATATGATATTTGTACACAACAATGATGAAAATGTTATACAATGATCACAGGCCAGGTATTTAAATGGTTAACACTTACTTGGCTGCAGCCATTCCCAGGAGAAGTCCTACAGTAATCATCTCATGGCCCTGTCAGATATAACAAACAATGGCAACTGAAACTCAACATTTGCTCATCATATTGTACACTGTCATTACACTCAATCTTTCGTTAACATACATTCAATAAGTGCTCTTTTTATAGATGAATAATCACGAAAACTATAGTGTTTCTTTCAGGTTTTAAAAGAGCAAATTGTCTAAGCTCTCAAGGAAAGAAAAGGTTATTGATAGTATACCACGTGTCAAACATTTGCTATAATTTCTATCCTTAAGTGTAGGTCCAAGATAAGAAAATGCATTTGCAAGGTAAGAAAATGCATTACCTTAACTCTGTGGCAATCTATTACAGTAAGCTAAAGATCAATCATTATTCTTTGTTTTAATTCTCAAAATAATAGCTTAAGAAAGTACACCCAGGTTGAAGCTTCCATAAGAACAGTATTAAACTTCTTACAATGAATTTTTCCAGGATCGCTGTATGACCTACCTTACTGAGATAATCATGGATGTTGAGGGTGTTCAGGTTGAGGTGACCATTCAGACCAAGTGCCATGAGGAAGCCAGCATACTCATTGGTGAATTCATTACTTTTTGGTTTATTGTAGATGATCCAGGTAGTGTCTACCTGTGAAGAGTTTGCTATCCGCAGTCCTGCTGCTACACCATTGTGAAATTGTGGCCAGGCAGACATGTTGGCTGGTGTGTCTATATGGGTCAGGTCTACAGTTGCATTTCTAAAAATTAATGATAAAGAAAAAACTTTTATGCATTAATGTCAAACAACATGCCTATCCTTAATATTTCAGAACCAGGTGAATGGAACAAGTTTAGTCTGCAACCTTTCTGTGAGTTGCCATCGATTAAAATTTGGGCTACACCTTGGGCTTAATATTATCTGGTGGGGATGTTTTACCCTTCAAGTTAATTTGAAGCTATAACTTCAACTTTTCACATTTCTGGAAGGTATCTCCAGGTTCAATTTGGTACACAACTTATCTTGGATGTGTCTTACCCTTCAAGTTAACTTAAGGCTTAAACTTCAATTAAAAGTTGTACTATAACCAGGAGGTATTTCTAGGAGAAATTTGGGCTATACCTTACCCGAAAGGTGCCTTACCCTTTGGACTGAGTTAAGGCTTAAACCTTTAAGCACATTCTGGCATACTGTCAACTACAACCTACCAGGGAGATACTGTTGGAGGTGTTCTACCCTTCAAGTAAATTCAAACAAAACATTTCCCGAATTTTCTTCTGGTATACTGTGGGCTATACCTTGTTGGAGATGTTCCACCATTCCTTTTAAGTTCTGACTAAAACTTTCCTGAAAATTATCTTCTGGTATATTATTGGCTATAACTTACCTGGGAGGTGCCTTGCCTGTCAGACATAGTTTTGGAATTGGAATAGCCTCTGTGGGCAGCGGATGGTATGTTGACAGGGTGAACATCCCTCTGAAAAAACAACATGTGGCTTATATATTGAATATCATTTTTGAATTTGTATTTATTGAAATTTTAAACTGATTGCTGTATGCTTTATCTATGCATACTTTCACTTGAATACTTGTCACAACAACATAATGTAAATTGTAAATCACACATGCTAATGTGTAAATTCTGTGTACATACCTGCCAACAGGGAGGGCCATGGTCCGTATACATATGGAATACAAATGTTTTTCTTGTTCTTCGATAAAGTCATGATCGCTGCAGAGGAAAATTTATAAGAAATGCTCACACATTAAATGGATAGCAACGATGTGATTGAAAAAAAGAAATGTATCACAAGACAAATGGTCAGAAAGTTTATATATGAAAGAAATTGCTCACACATAAATTGGATAGAGATAAACAGAGGATCATCAAGCAGATATCATCCACAAAACCTCAGAAAAATATGAAAGACTGCCATAAATTGCCTTCAATTTTAACATGTACCATGATGAAAATATTATATAAACATATCACTAATTTTACTCCCAATAAAAATTTTGCGTTTTTAAAAGCTTTTTGTTTTTGTGCAGAGTACCTACCTGACCTCAGGACGCTGCACAAGGGCTATTCGTGCTGGACGTGATGACTGTAATAACCTACGCACCTCCTGAACTCGTAGATCATCACTGAACCGAAGTCTCAGCAACTGTTGCAAACATAAACATTTAATAAAGGAACATTGTTTTTTACACATGTATTACAGCTTAGAATATTCACCTTGTGTATGCTTCAAGTGTTTAACATGAACCTTATTCAACTGTTGGGCTTATCAGACAAACTGTTGCACACATAGATCAAATAGGCTGATTGATAGGAAAATTGATATACAGGATAAATGCCATGTGCCCTCGACATGAAATGAAAACTGTGAATAGCTTTATACCCTCTTAAGTGATTACCTCCTCATCCATATGTTCCATACCGTCCTCCTCGTCTTTGGAACGCTTGGATTGTGGATGCGGCTGTTTGGTGTAGATCCCTGGGGGAGCCTGAGGTTTCTTGTTTTCCATTCCAAGTAGCTGGGAGAGGTCTTGTCGCCCTACAAACACAAGTACATAAGTGTGGTGTTCTCCTTGTAAATTTTTTTTGTTAACTTCTTCCGAATTTATACTAATAAAACAAAACACAGTTTTTAAGAATCTTTCATTAGGCCAAAATTGAGAAATTCTTTAATTCATTTTGAAATGTTAACTAAATTTCACTTGCTCAGTATTATAGGAGATGTTGTAGAGTTACAACCATAGTACTGGTGTTGTTTTCGAGAAAGTAGGTAATACATTGATCTCTGCTCAAATAAAAAATATTCACATTGTTCATACTGAATGAAGTATTTACCTACCTATCAATGTATATGCTTGTTCTGTCCAATCAGAAGGAGCGTTACATCTGCAGTGAAAGATTGCTTCCCGCAAAGGAAGTGACACCCCTACAGGCAAGTATTCTAGATCCTGGTAAGTCATGCCTGTGTAGCAAAGATGTTTAAACTGTTATTTCATTCAGAAGATATCCTCATTGCTTCAGAATAAAAACACTTAATCTGAATATGCCACTGTTTACACTGATACACTGTTTATAAATATTTCTAACTTTTCCGACTATCTTAAAAGCCCAAGACTGATCACCTATCAATATCTTAATATTTTGAAGAAATACTATTTCTTTGTCCTGTAAAAAGCTAATCCCTACTTTCAGTCACAGTGAGTGTTGCCCCCCTCCGCTGATTGCAGGATCACAATGGCAAATTCAAACCCATATCATAACACTGTCATACTGATCCACTAATGTAATATATATCCATAAACCACATTATGTTTAATCCCAAATTGTTATCCTCATAAAATAAGTACTGTAAATATTAAAGCTGTTAAATATCATTTATAGTACCAAATATTATCAGTCAAATTATATTTGTCTATTCTCATTAACACAAGTGATGCCAGAGATTATAACTTACCAATTTCTGTCATATATAGGACTATCCTTTCTGGAACACTAGCACTCGGTACACATATAGAGAAGCTCCTCGAGAAACTCCTAGACATGGATAAATCACAGGTTGGTGCTCGGTGACCTACATCAGAGAGAGTAGAATGGTGTTATGAAGTTAAAGAATGAAGCATGACCATATAGAGCATTTGTTGAGAATCAGTCGAAATATAAAAAAGTTTAATATTATTGCTAAAGTCATATTTCTTAAAATAAAAAAATAAAAAAAACTAGAAAATGTCTGTAAGACATGAATGCCCCCGCCCCCCATGTGAAATAATAGTGAAAGGTCCGAATGAAGTTGTTAGGTGGTATATACTGATTTGGGACGCGATGCGACGGGACGGGACCATAAATGGCGGGGACATAAAAACAAAATAATACTGCCAATCTCTTTCAATAAGTCTCTATTTCGTAGAAAATTGTAAGACAAATTTACCCGCTGGAGCGACTCTTCGTAGACATTTGTCAATGGCCTGCTCTGTGGCCAGGTCTCTCTTCAAGAGCAGAGCATAAAGCTGTAGAGAATAACAAAGTAGGTTTGTTATGCAATATTGTGGCACCTCATAATGAATATTAAGAATTCTGCTTTCTTTCTGTGGTAATCAACTTTTTCAAAAATCTGTTAATTGGTATTAACTTCAATAGTGATGGCATAAAATAAGATCATGCAGATGTTTTTTTTAAAGCTGAATTACATAACAAATGAAGAGCCATTCTCATGTTCTCTACTATTTAATAATGATTAGCATTCTTCCTTACTGATATAACATTTTTGATGTTGTTACAGACACCAGGTATGTAAGGGAGTGAGCCGGGATCATCTCCCCTCAAGTTAGACTGGAGCCACTGTAACACTGAAGGAACAAACTGAGTAAACACCCCTGGGTAAACCATCTTGTGGAGGTGATCTGTAAACAAAGGGAAATTATATTACATCCAAGTCACTGAAAAACGATATTACTATCCCAAAGGAATAAGAAACACAAAGCAATTAATAAACAAAACTTGATTTCTCCTCTCGTTATCATAAATCTGTCTAAAATATGTTTCTTTAAGGGGGTCACATCTCAAACATTGAAATTTTCTATTTAAAGCTAAATTAGAATTACTACATTTGATCACATTTTATGTAAGGGTGACCTAAAATATGTTTTATATAATACACATATATATTTATATAACATTTTTTTCTGGGAGAGAGAGGAAGATTTTAATCTTTTAGTAAATGTTACCTTAATTGTACAAATATCATTTGCCTCGCGGTCATTACTTTTTCTATATTCTCAACAAAAACACAGAACATATTAGAGTACCTTCAGTAATCTGGCTCACATCATCTACAGCATCAAAAAGTTGCTGGAAGTCTCTACAGTAATAGTCTGTGTAGTTGGAACACTTCAAGTCACTGAAACATGAAACAACTACTGTATCATTCTATCAAATTCACATTCATGGGACTGATTAACGAACACTACAAATTATTGAATATTCACAGCACAGCATTCTCCTTAATAGTGCTAATACTGTAACCTGAGAATAGACTTACCTTGCTATCTGGTATAGAATTGGCACAAGTTTCTCCACGTCCTCTGTTAGAAGTGTGTTGAGCTTCATCTCCTGTTAAATACATACATTAAATTAAAAAAAAAAAAAAAAATACATACATCCCGATGTGAACCTTCATCAACGATCACCAAAACCTAATTTCAGGCATATGTGTTATTGTAACCCTACCATCAATTAATCTTAAACCAAATCTACTGAAGGAACACAAAGATATGTTGTTCAAGAGCATTTTATTTCAAAGTGTTATCTTTGACCTCGACCATTAAAATTTTACCAGGAATGTTACTGGTCTAATCTTAGAATTTTTGAGGGGTTAATGCGATACCTTAAAAAATCTGCCATCTTTACTTTGTAGAGATGTAAAGACAAACACCATCCTTCCCTCCACAACTTAGGAACTTAGATTCTTAAAACAGCAGATTCAGGAAAAAAGTACTGATTTTTTTTTTTTACACAAATCATAAGTCAAAACTTCTTATATCCATTCACAACCAAATTCTGATAAATGCTTAATGTAAATCACTGTTACATGAATTTCATCACTGAGTCATGACATGTATAACTTGAAAATAATTATTCATGCGCAGAAATGTAACTGTGCAAAAGTAATGGAGCCATAGCACAGGTTATAATAGAGACCTCGTAGACAAGATGTAGTCCCATCATCACTGCTGGAATGTGAGGAAACAGAGTAGCATTAGTATTTATGGCACAGGGCTTTGAGTAGGAGGACGCATCGGGTATGGCTGTACAGTGGGTGAGGCCCAAGACAGGCTCCATACACTGGATGGTATACTGGTGGTGGGTTGAGGACAACAGACCTTCCCAGTCCTGTCAAAAAATCAGATTTCAAAAAAGGTAGGTCAAAAACATGACAGTCAGGTAGATTTATTAACAGTTCAAAAACATAAAAGAAATCTAGATCAACAATGTGTTTTATACGACAAAGTTAATGAAAAATGTAACGTAATGAAATTTTGATTTAAATGAATGTAATTGATATACAAATTTTAGACAAATTATCTCACTATGTTTTCATGACAACAGTAAATTCATAGATTTGCTATTCAAGACTTTTTTAATGCAAAGTAGAAAACAATTATTTCCAAAATAAATAAATATACTATTCTTGACACACTAAAAAATGGTTCAATAATTCATGGGCAATGAGGTAAAATTTGACTCAACAGTCTAGCTTACATCATCTGAGCCTTGATCGGACTGTTTTGGTCGCTTAACTGCCACAACAGGAGACATAGATGTGTCCAACTCATGCTACAATAGATGTTGAGGCCTAGTAAAGTGTACAGCCTACAGCACTTGAATTTGCATTCTACCAAATAATACTTCAATACAATTCATTTTATCTAAATTGCAGGGCTCAAACATTCCTTAATAACACAGCATAATTCAACATATTGAGGTTTCTTTTTCCAAACAGGTTCTATGTGTTTTTCTGAGACAAACTCAATCCTGAGCAAATATAGCATTACTTCGGCATCAGTGAAGTCTGATACATTCTCAAAACTAGTAAATTAATAACATATTGAAGACGGACTGTAACTAAACTTATTTCATTTCGTCTAACTGTTCTTTAGGACAAGGGAAAACATGAAATTGTTTTGCACAAAAGTCTGGGCTTTTCTCCACTCATTTGAGAATGGCATTTTACCTCATTTTCGGAAGAAAATTGATCACTTTGGTTGAAGAAATGTTCAGTAGTAAATTATGAATCCAAGGAATTTGGCAATATCATGAAACAAATGCAATTGGAAATGAGGCCCTTATTCACTAATGAGATAATTTCAAATTTTTAGATGTCAGAATTTAAGGTATTGTATTAATTATATACACGCAAAAGATTAGAAATCTTTGAACCAGGCATCTACATCAATGTGCTAATCAACAATGAATATTCACAAATTTTATGTTGTTATTTATTTGATAATTTTCAGCATACCTGATTAGTGAGAGCAAGACGAGTGGTATCATATCCCATCATGCTCAGTAAACACTTAGAAAATAAGCTCCATTCTGATTGGTTGCCGAGTCCTCCAGGAGTATTTCTCATTGTGTACCATTTCCCCAATATGGAAATGGCCAGGTCTTTTGGCAGCATGTGTTTCAAGGCCTGTAGACACATCTCAACTGTGACAAGAGAAACACAAAAATCAAAAATGATTATGTAGTATATAAAGTTCTTCACTAAACGATGTGATAGTGGGTAATGTTATCCTGTAGAGGTATCACTAATGTTTTGATATATAAATAATTAAATTTAACAGTATTGGACCAAGATGACAACTTACTTCCTGGTGAAGATGTGATAGCAGGCATGGTGGTCCTACACAGGTGATTGTTCATCAGTTCCTATAGGATGAAAAAAATAATAACTAAATACGATAAAGTCAGGTAAACCATGTAAATTAAAAAAAAATAACCCAACAACAGGTCCCATGATAAATACTTGTTTACTAATTTTAAATTTCCGTATTGATAGAAATATGCAAAATGCTTTCCAAAGTTTCATCTTATAAGTCTAGAATGTGCAATGATATTAATTTAATAAAAAATAAAGTGAAAAAGCAAGCAGTTGTAGGATATACTTATCCTACAAATGTTTGTTCTCTTTCTTTTTCAATGTATTATCATGTTTTCATAAAAAAATAATTCTGGAGTAAGTACTCTAAATCATGTAATTTTATATATTCAAAACAACTCACAATTGTGAAGCGTGCACCAACATTGTCTTTGATGCCCTGTATAAAACTACTCTGCACAGGAAACTCATCAAACTGTGAGGAGTCCTCTAACTCTGTTGGGACAGGTGACATCTGTGTCATCTATATGTAAACAGAAAGTAGAACTGAGGATTATAATACATGTCCCTCAACTATGTTGGCACAGAGGACACCTGTGTCATCTATATGTAAACAGAAAGTAGAACTGAGAAACTGTGATACATGTCCTAAAGCTTTGGTGGTATGGGGATAACAATGCCATCTGGAACGCAGAACTGAGGACAGTTCTTCATGTCAAGTCAACAGATAAGCAGTGAAAGTGTCATCTATGACAAAAGAAATCTTGTCTTACGATAGAAAGTAGTGAATTTCCTACTCTTAAATAAAAGTGTTATCCATTAAGTCTACAAAAGCAATCAACAGAATTAATAAGATATCATAGAATACAAAGATAGGATTGTAATAAATGTAATTTCTATTGGTCTAGAACAAGAAAAAGAATTGCTAATATGAAAAATATGAAGATAGAAAAGTGCATTTACCTCCTCATCAAAACCAGCCTCCATGGCACTCGGAGGTCGAGATGAAGTGAAGTAGCCACCTCTACTGGGACTGTTAATGGGTGTGGTCGTCCGCAGCATACTCAGCGAGCCTGATCCCAGAGGCAGAGTTGGTACATGAAGACGATTAATCTATGTCAATAGAAAGTTAGGACAAGCCTTATACTTTTATCTTTTACACTGAAAGGACAATCTTATCAACGAAATATTCACCGTATAATAAAAATACAAACTGACCTATCATTATTGCCGATGACATTTGATCTGTAATGTGAAAACTTGTTTAAAATTTACAACAAAAGTAACATTTTCAATCTAATGTTCTTACATCATTCTGTGATTCAAATCACATTCAATTCTGAAAATAGATTATTTTTATATCATTCATCAGTCACGTATGTCAAACCTTGAGGTGAGATGAGATAAAGGAACTTTGCTTATCACAGGTAACATACAGTACTACTAAGATTACAATTGACTGACCTTTGTAGTTCCACTGTACACCCACAAACCACCAGTAGGGTCCAGTAGTACAAGTAGATCAAGGCTCTGTAACAAAAACATTTTACATAGCTTTATCTCAACACAAACATACCTACATATCAACAGGTCCCCAGCTTTGACATAGTTTGGACATGACCAAGTGGAACAATTCCTCACATTTATATAGTTTTTGTCAAGTATAAAAGGTAATTCTTAAAGAGTCTTCTGTGTAGTGTGTAGATGAAGGAAGATATATAGACTACAATCAGCACTTAACTAGATATCACTGGCAAAAAAAATTTTAAAAGGTGAAAATACAATAGACGTAGTAAAGTTCTCATCTTCATGGTTATTTTACTGTAATACTATATTGATGTAAGTTTTATTGTAACCCATTTCAGTATAACCTGCAACTGACTACTTTTTACCACCATAGGGATGGTATTTTTGACAGGTATGACTACAACTTTTCCAAACCTCAGACAACTTTATATCTGTATACACTTTACCTTGTAACTAACTCTTACCTCAATTGGGACGGCATCTTTGGCTGGTATAACTGCCACTGTTCCAAAAATCAGCTGACTTAGGTCATTACTCTCTTCAAATTTCACACATCTGGAAATTTTTAACAATTATTTAGTTGATTCAACTTTGCATTCACCATGAAGATATGGTTTCCATGAGAATAGTCTATTGGAAATTGTTCATGCACAGAAAAATGTCCAGACTAATTATTAAGTGCAAATCAACACAAGGTCTAAAAATTCAGTATGGTATTCCACAAGAACATCCAATTGGGATAATACTTTAACAAATACCTACCGTAGCTGTTGTCTATAAGATATCACATAACACAGGTATTGCTGTCCACACAGATCACGAGTCAGGAATGCTTTGGACGACTTCCCCAATGATCCATCTCTATAATATTAATAAAACATTGCTTTTTTCAATGTCTATGCCACACACATCCATCATAATTAAATTTGTCTGAATAGATATAGTGAAATAAATAGCATCAATCTGTTATTAAAAGGTAGACAATCTATATCAACCTGATTTTAGATGTAGGTTCTGACTACTTAAAACATGTGTACCTAAGGTGTCTACAGGTGCTTAATGCACACCTGACAGTTACATGATGGCAGCTGGGGGCTCTGTCTACATGTGCATCAAAGCACACTTAAATATTTTACTAAATTTATACCTGACACCACATATGAACTGTCTACAGTGTTCAAATCATATCTGAATATTTACCTGATGGTAGATGTAGGCTCTGTTCACATGTGTTCAAAGCATACTTAAACATTTACCTGAATTTTCACCTAAAGTGGGCTCTGTCTAGAGGTTTTCTTAGCATAGCAAAACATTTATCTGATAGCAGGTGCTGTCTCTGTCCACAGGTGCTCAAAGTCCACCTAACCATTTACCTGAATTTTCACCTAACCTGGGCTCTGTCTACAGGTTTTCTAAGCATAACTTAATATTTACCTGATAGCGGGTGCTGGCTCTGTCCACAGGTGCTCAAAGCACACCTCAGGCTTGAGGGGCTCTACCCAATCTGTGTAACTCTCATTGATGAGCGAAACATTGTGAGAACCCACTGGTGGGGTCCGAAAGTAGTTTCCAGGGCTACGGGCCACACTGGGTGAGGGTGACAACAAGCGATGCATAGAATTGAGCCCCATTGCTGGGGACTGGGATCGGCTACAACAAGAAATCAACTCTTAGGTTAAGGAAATATGTAATATGTTGGTATGAAGTGATGTCAGAGGTATCTATATAAAACTGATTATATTTGAAAATCAAAACAAATATAAAAAAAATCAAAATCCTATATATTCAATGGGTCAATGTTTTGGAACTAGAAATATATGACATAGATTCCTTAATCCAGAACTTTAGAATATAGACTGGGCCAAAAATCAAAAGTAAAAAATCTATATGCAACACCCTCTACTCAATCAGATGTATATGCTAATTAATTTACAGGACTCAGCTGTACTTCCTGGTCCATAATCGATTTAAATTTGATAACTATATAACAGTGAGAAGGGGCTCAAATAGATAAACTTAACACTCCCTTGTCACTTTTTTAGGTCACAATCTATGAGAGGTTCATCATATATCTTATATTTCAAAAGTAGTAAAGGATGATCTCTGACCCTTAAACATTTACAGATGATCACTCAGAAGACACTGATTGTGTTATACTAGGGTGTGAATATGAACAAAGAGTTCATATTTCAAGTTAGAACTTTGACCTCAAATCATGATCATTGAGCAACAAAAGTTAATCAAGAATAGAACTTAATGGTGTAATGTTATGTAAGTGAACCCAATGTGTTGAGAGCTTCGTGAGTTATCTTGTAAACTAGGTTTTTTGTTCAAAGTGAACAAGATAAGATTTTTGACCATTAACTTTGACAGCCAAATTATCACCAGAAATTGATGGTAAATGTTTTGATTGCAATACTACAAAAGCATGGGCAAAGATAGTATTGCATGCCCATAAAAATACTTCTGACATTAGACTGGATAAGAACATACTAAGAAGCAGGTATACCTAACAGCAGCCATACTGCCAACAGCTGGGCTGAGGCTCTGTGAACGTCCAGGAATGATACCGGGGGAGCTGACTCGTCCAGAGAAGCTCCTCATGGGTGAGATACTCGGAGATTGGGCTGACAGACTTCCAATGAATCGTGAGTGGCTTGAGCTAGACTGATTCATCCCCATGGGTGTAGCCATGGCAGCAGGGTGGTAGAAGCTGTTCTCCATTAGGCCACACACAGTATTACACTCCTACAGTAGTCAAAGGACATTGTATTTCAAGTACCATTATTAAAATATTAACCCTTATCCTGCTGTATGTTCATTTATCAATACACAGCACAGTGCCCTGCTGCTGTGTATTTAATGTGTAAATGTATGTATACAGCCCGCTGCCACAGTGGTATGGGAGTTTAATCAAATATGGGTACATCATCCCAAACAAACTTTACAATTCATATTTACCGACAGTAACAACTGAAATTAGGTATCATTTCATTCAGGAAGATTTCTTCTTTACTGTGTGTACTTAAATGACAGAGCAACTACAGGTGATATAATGAAGGTACAAGTAGGTATGAAATGATATTAAAATAAACATTATGAAATCTATCAGAAAGTGAATATTTTGTAAACAAGGGGTGGTTTGATGACCTCATTTATTAAGCAGCTGAACTCTATATGTCAATTCCATGGCAATAACAATGAAGATAACATGCATAATTACTTCGAAGTTTGTGACATCAAGTTTGACGCAACTTGTTTAGGTTTTCACTCTGCTATAACTTTGTTTACATAATGATAACAGCCTTTGCCTTATCTTTCTAACTACTGTGTTACACAAAAAAAACTTCAAATAACAAATTCACGAAATCTGTAGTGGAACCCTGTCTGGGAACATTGCAAGTAATCTCCGAAAGACATAGTAAATGGGGCCATTACAGACAACATTTCAAGAAGTATGTCACCAAACCATCACATTATTAGACAATCCTACCTTCAGAAACCCTCTTACAACTTCTGTATGATCTAATAAATACTTTAAGCCCCATCTCTCAAACAAGTTTTCACTTTCAACAGAACTATTAAATCACTTATTTATTTCCAGATTTGCATCACTTTCACTCTCATTGGCAACAGCATCCACCTACCTTGCTGGCGTTTCTGATGAGAACATGTGAAGTTCTAAAGTTCTCAAGGCAGGTCAAACTCATTATTATTCAAACAAGAGATCACAGAATGATCTTTATTTGCTCTTTGAAAGTTTGGTTTTTTCCCTTCTTTTCTCTTCTCTGTTATCACTCTTAATGGTAAGAAATTTGAACATTCCATTGCAGAAATAGCGATAATAATCTTTACCTGTTAAATCCAAGATGGCCCCATGTCAGTCATTTTGTTTCTCTGATCAGACCCAAACTCAAATGGGCACAACTAGAGATAAAGGAAAACCTCAACATGAAATTTGAGAGAGTTCCATTCAGTACTTCTTAGGAAATAGGCATAACAAACTTTACTTAGCGAAATCCAAGATGGCCTCATGTCAGCCATTTTGTTTTTTCAGATCAGTCCCAAAATCAAACAGGCACAACTAGGGACCAAGAGGAACCTATACACGAAATTTTAGAAAGATCTATGCAGTATTCTTATCAAGAAATAGTGAAAACAAAAACTGTTTACAGACAGACGAACGGATGAATGGACCACAGATTTGAGTATCCCATCACCTGATGATGGTGGGCTAAAAAGTAACTAGGTCGTAGTATCAGAATAATTCTGAAATTTTTAAGCTGATTCATTCTCAATTTAAGAGAAGGGATAGCCAAGTTACAATTTCAGTCTAACTGTGGGTAACTGTGCAAATCATATATGTATGCTGATGGCAGTGGCGGTGGTAACTAGTTGATATATATATATGCAATTGGCAATGTGAAGGTGTATAAGAGAGATCACATTTATTTATATATGTTGTTGGCGGGATAAGGGTTAACAGATGATTTCCATAAATTCAAGCTGCCTCCCTTGTTTTGTATTTATTTACCTGTTTCTCTTCACTTACAGACCCATAACATCAATGAACTTCAGGGTAAGATCACTTTTTTTTCTGGGTTGAGGAAGGTCACTGTACCTCAGGTTGTGGTAAGACCACTGTACCTTTGGGTAAGATCACTGTGTCTCAGGGTAGGATAAGATCACTCATTGTACCTTGGAGTAAGATCATTGTACCTTGGAGCAAGATCACTGTACCTTGGGGTAAGATCACTGTACCTTGGGGTAAGATCACTTGTACCTTGGTGTAAGATCACTGTACCTTGGAGTAAGATCATTGTACCTTGGGGTAAGATCACTGTACCTTGGTGTAAGATCATTGTACCTTGGAGTAAGATCAGTGTACCTTGGAGTAAGATCACTGTACCTTGTAGTAAGATCAATGTACCTTGGGGTAAGATCATTGCACCTTGGGGTAAGATCATTGTACCTTGGAGTAAGATCACTGTACCTTGGAGTAAGATCACTGTACCTTGGTGTAAGATCACTGTACCTCAGGTTGTGGTAAGATCATTTTACCTTGGAGTAAGATCCTTGTACCTTGGAGTAAGATCACTGTACCTTGGTGTAAGATCATTGTACCTTGGAGAAAGATTACTGTACCTTGGAGTAAGATCATTGTACCTTGGGGTAAGATCCTTGTACCCTGGAGTAAGATCACTGTAGATCACTGTACCTTGGTGTAAGATCATTGTACCTTGGAGAAAGATCACTGTACCTTGGAGTAAGATCATTGTACCTTGGGGTAAGATCCTTGTACCCTGGAGTAAGATCACTGTACGCCAGGATTATGTAGAAATTTTTACTGATGAAACCAACTTTGGGCTAATCTTCTGTAATAGCCATGTTATTATGATTGTGCCTAGGTGTATGTAAACAGTATATGTCATTAAATACTTACATCTAGCCTGGCCTTGCGCACACGCCAAGCTGAGTGCACACCAACCATTGTGTCATAGGTAAATACGAGTGAGGGTTCCACACTAGTAAAGATGATATGCTGAGTATTGTCTGTCAGGTAAGAGATCTTTGGACAACTACCTGGACCTAAAACAAATAGTGAGAGCTTTACCTATAATACGAATGAGATCAAATATGCAAAACATATTCACCTGATATTTAAGTAGGACATATCCGTTTTTCACAATACATCAATAAAAATTAATGCATTTCTTGAATAAATTTAATCCCAGAATTAATTTTTAGATTCTGTGAATTTTTTTCAATTGTTACTAAAATATCATCTTAACCATGATGACATGTCTAGATTATGTGTTACAATAGACAGAACTTACTTGATGTTTTAGTTATGACTGGAGCTACCTCGTCTAATGGGTGTAACATACTGAACACTGTCGTCTGACTAGGCGAATTTCTGTAAATACGGTAATGACTTTTAAAACACTAGAATAACAATGGAAGAAAAGACTCAGCAAAATAATAATCACCATTGAGAGGTAAAGATTCGCTGGAAAAGCTATTTACCTTTTCCCTGTAGCTATTTCAGTAGGCGATACAGTCCTTTCAAACAGAAGTCCATTTTCTATCATCCAAGTACTTGCCACCTTAACAAAATATCAACACGCAGGTGTACATATCATTTTCCAACAGAACAATGATTTTGTTACATTACATGGCATATTATGTTTTATTACACCATTTACAATTGAACAAACTTTTCCAGAACTTCATATTTTTCTAAAATTCCTAGAATGTTTCCAAAATTTCTAATTCCAAATTCCAAGCAATGTTATAGTGTTTGTTTTATTAATTCAAAAATCACTTCATACATCAAGAAATTTTTAAATGCTAAATAGTAAGTACATATATGTTGAAAGAAAATAACATCTTCCTGAGAATCAAAATGTGTTTCTTATGAGGAGACACAAACCTGAAAAGGAAGCGCAATATTGTACTCTCCACCTTTCTCTATGAAAAAACTGATTGACCCAGATTCCACCACACAAACACCACTCTGCAATTCACCTGCTTTGAAGAAAGCACAGAATCAATCAATTTGAAGATTTGTGAAACTTGACATCATACAGAGATATTCCGCCCAAAGGATATTCAGGTGTCAGGGATACATGGTTTCCGAAGTTATGTATATCAAATTTTCAAATATCTCAACTAGGTGGCGAAATTGTTTTATGCATGAGTGTGCACAATACACAGATATTTACAGATTTACAACAATTAAGCATCATCAAATACAAAAATTACCAATTATTGAAAAAAGGTTCCATTTCAATATATCAAACTTCTCTTATGTATTACATTAACAAGTAAATATGAATATCTCTTGTGATGTTTGCTAAAAATCCCCATGGAAAAAGATCATAAATCAAAAACCAATGAAATGATATGAAGATTCTCACCTTGTGGACTAAAACCGGCAATATCTTCTGGAATCCCTGAGGCAGGCAGGATGAAGTTGCTCCACAGGGCCTTATAAAAAGAGTTACTGTTATTCATATGAAATGTCAATATTGAAGGACCTGCTCTGAAATATATCCAACTTTGTAATTGAATTGAATTCTCTACATGTGTGACCTTATAAATAATGGTGATGGGGAAGGGGGGGAGGGGGGACTTGTGTTTTTAAAACATTGTCATTATATAAAAACATTATATATACATTTTGTTGTAGCAGCTCTTGATGAGATGATTCTTTGACTGGATCCATTTTCTATACAAATGCTTATATTTTGATTAAATGATGAAATTTATAACAACAACATTGTACAATAGATATTTATCAAAATATATCATAATTGATACTGTAATGTGGCAATGATACATTAGATAAATGACAAAATACCAATATCCTGTGCTTTTTTACTTGAAATTTTATCTTGAGTTGAAATTCACAACATTCAACACCAGATTCAATAACAATTCCATCAGACATCCCATGTTCTGCCCTATCTATGTATGAAAATGAAATGTGTCGCTACAGTAAAGAAGTTTCATAATATTTCCCACTGTGAAATGAATGTATATACTATCTGTACTATTTTTCATTTCCAGTCAAAAGATCAAAATTTATCATTAAATGAACCAGGTTTTACCTGAACCACTGGAGTGTCCACAGTGAAAGTTTTAACGATGGAACGTGTACCATTTTGTCCACCCTTGCTCCAGACGACAGTGTTGCCACTGAAATACAACTCTTCATCACACAAGTCCTGGTTTACCTCATGTGGAATCTGATGGAATAGCCACTGTTCCTTCTGTGAAAAATATACACACCACAATTTAGAAAAATGACAATTTCACCTGAAAATATTTCTCATATGTATTGTATGATCCAATACAGGTATTTTCCTGTGTTCTTCTATTATATTGCACTATTCTGTGATGTAATTACTTTGCTATAAAAGAAAGTAAAGATTTGTCACGATGTTAATGATAATGATATACATTGTACTTCATGCAATTTAATTTTTGTTTTCCAAAGTTAATATGATAGGTTTAAATTTTATCATGGAGATTCCAAATGTATATATTGTTTGGTATACAAGTAAACCAAAGTTGTTTTTTCCTATAACTCTATGCTATTGAGGAGGAAAACTGCATGAAGAAAAGAGCCTAAACAAAATCAACTTTTAACATACTATAATATGGTTATGGGAGAATGCAGGGCTCTTGATCTGCCAGATTTGGGGCCGAATACCCAATGCAAAATAGTATCTTTTTTTCCCAATTTAGACCCCAAGATCTCCCAATTCTAAGGAAAACGCTGCTATTTTCCCAATTCTAAGGGCCCCGGGCCACAGTCCCAAAATGGGGTGTGAGAGCCCTGGAATGTCAATGCAAGTTGATCCAAACCTCTTTTTCAATGTTTCAAAAGAAAAAAAATGACCTTTCGGAATATTATTAGTATAGAGTTTTGATTCCAAATAAACTGTGAACAACCATATCGTCAGCCATTTTACCTTGTTATGTTCCTGTATGGAGATGTCCCGGAATGACTTGAGGAGTGGCACACCATGCTCGGCACTGACAGTATTTTGGACCTGCAGTTGGAATGTCCCAGGATGCCGCCGACTGTACTCCCTTCCAAAGGGAACAAAATCCTGGGTGAAACAGGCCGCAATCATATCATCTGCATCCAGGGTGACGGCTTGGCTGGACTCTACCTGTAATTAGGATAAGAAAATAACTAAGATATTAATACAATCATCATTGCGACTAAACTAAAGCTACAAAGTCAGCAAGGGTTGGGGGCCTGGTTGAACCATAAACCTCATCTGTTAATTCATGACCTATCACAAGCATTTGTCCACATTAGAGGAAACTGAACTACAGAAAATATATACATGTCATACAATGATACAGTGAAAGCTTAAACATTTTTGGTGGTTACTATTCAACACGATGGTAAATGAGCGAGGCAGTACAAATTAATCCATGGGTTCATCTACCAAAGCTTGAACCAAAGCTCATTTGCAATAACAGAAATGTATACTTCCAAGTGACAGATCACACCACTGCTCTACATCATATAAACACAAAGACAGATACTAGATCAGTCAATAGATCGCTTGTAAATCTCGACATTAACAAGTTCTTATGTTATCAGGTTTTCACTTGACAGCTTTATTAGTTTGGGAACATTCTCAGAAAGTGGTGACTGTCTCAATTTTGCTAGACAACAAAACACTGGCATCAAAGATTGGATTGGTGATCATTACATCATTTCTGAGCAGACAATTTCATGTAGCAAAAGTACACAAATTTGCCTTTTAAAACATATATTTATAAAATTTTATGTTAAATGGATTTATTTTTTCCCTGCAAGCGTTAAATGTTAGTAATCAGGCCATCACATGGCGATGTCACGAATGTCAATCCCCAACCCCCAGGTAAGGAACGGAAATTTTGATACAATATTGCTACACACCATAGGTAATTTCATCAAGATAGCAACTGCTAGGGTGGCAGAATCTTAGCATTTTTTTCGTGAAGCTAATGCTTCTTAACAGTGCTTCCCTTCGGCTTCGGTGTGGAAAGTTTCGTAAGATGAACTAAATTTTTCAGAAAGAGATTGGGAAACAGATCAAGGGGTAAGGAAAGTAAACATTGTCGTATCAAAATTATCATATATAGAGAACGGGTCGTGCAATAGCATCAAGTCGGGCTGAAACTAGTACTTATTCGTGTCTTACCAATAAAGCGAAATGGTCTTTAGTTCATCTTTATTCTTGTCTGTATTTTAATGTTATTTCGGCCATATTTCCCGCGGTCATGCATTTTTTACTTCCGGTTTAGATTTTTCATGTACAGTTTTTAGGAAAATACTAATTAGTTTATGGTGGAATTGAGGTTTTGAAATTCGAAAAAAAAATCAAAATACATATAATAATTACTATTTCTTAATGTGTAATTACAATAAACAAAATTGCAAGTTTTCGTCACACATAAGGCGCGTTCGGATTTTCGTACCATACACAAAAAAAGTATTTGTTACTTTGAACATAACATAAAATGCTCTAAACCCATGTTTTTGAAGGGACGTGAGTGGACAAACAATAAAACAAAAACAAAAAAAACATTTCTTGTCTTCCTGCAACAATCATATGCCCAATCAAGGCGTTACTGATCGATATCTGTATTCCATATGAGTAAGAGTACCGTTTACTAATATAAAATTTGACTACAGTACTAGCCTTGCCTAATGGGGGAATTTCCCTTCGTCGAGCAGTAAAGTGTTCAGTTTTATTCGAACTCCAGCGATGGCATTCCAATGGCAGAAACTATAGGAGATGCTTCCATGGATATATCAAATCTGAGTGTTGTTGCTCGGGGAAGACTTGTGAAGAAAGGACAAGTGTAGAAGTTTAGAGTACAGTCCGACTCATTTTCAGACCATTCGTAGTGATGTTAACATTGACATAAATTTATCATTTTAGAGTCAGAATTTTTCGATATATCAAATACACACGTTCGCCTCGGTGACACAGTGGCTGTCGTAATATTTAGTTAATACATCCATGTCATATCTCTGAGTGGCATGGCAAAGTATATATATTTTTCATTTCAATAGCTTAGAAAACTACGATAAGAGACATAAGTAATACAGCTTTCGATAATATTTGCGGTCAACTGTGGAGCGGTCATGTTTCCTTTAAAATAATTCATGCCAAACGCGCCTGACAACAATTTCCGGGTCAATAAAGAGGTTGAGATACAACAAGTCGTCTTAGAGGACATTATACAAAATGATTTCTCTGAGGACAGGATCATTGATATCGGTATTCGTAGTGATTTTAGCCTACTTGTACGTTCAAAAGTATGGAAAAGAATCCAAACCACCGCAACCGATTGACGGGGAACAGAATCGATTGTATCAAGTTTTGTCAGGCCTTCTGCGAGCCGAGAAAAAAGTGGCTCTGATTGGAAGTCGAGTAGCGCTTGGATTCGGAGGCTGTCAAGACATCCTTGTAGAGGCAATGCCTCTGTTTAAAAAATTAGATATCCAGCCTCCATCTAGTCCTTTGCATCATGACTCTGTGGAGACGGAAGAAGAATTATCACAATTGTTAGCCTACTTTTTCAAGCACGGTGCAGCAGCCGAGTAAGTACCCGAAAATAGTTCCTTTTAACTACATGTACGTGTCGTAGTTTCCGTATCTTACAGCGAGACGATACGTCCTGCTATGTAGGATATCAGTAATGAGTTAGTATTTTAGTGTCCAAATTGCTCATATTCACGACATTGAGCTCACTCCTTCCATACGAAACTTGCAACAATAAACGTATAAGTCTGCTGATCACAAGTGTATCATAAGTGAATCGAGGAGTACTATAACTAGCATTAACCAGCTAGCTATGTATTCACAGCAATATCTGTAAGCAATTTCATTTCATTTCTAATAATCATTGTGTTAATTGCAGTTTATTTACAATTCTTCCGAAAATTTTGTGACAATTTCAGATCAAATTTATCCACAAAAAAGTAAGTCTTAACAGTGAGTCCAATGGGTTCTGACCATCCATCCGTTATTATCATTATTACTTTGTTTGTTTATTTTTATTTTGTTGCATCTTTTTAATGCACGTTTCACAGATAGAAGTGCTTCAAATAACTGGTAAAATACACTTTCAGTGAATACAAGATACACATTTAGTTGACACACCATACAATAAACTTCACTGGACGTGAAATACAATTTCAGTGGAAATCAGATACCTTTTCAGTGGATATAGATACGCTTTCAGTAGACATTACTCTTTAGTGGACACAAGATGCTAGTGGTGGAACATTGGTTGCAGACATAATCAATTGATCTGTTAAAATCAATGTGGTTTTGTTGATAAATATCAGTTTAGTAATTTTAAATTTCAGTATCCTTGTCTTACTGTTACTCTTTTTTGTTTGTGTTGTATTATTCATTTTTAGTGTCAAAGCAATCAAATATTTTAATCTACATATTTCCAGTCAATGGCAGCCACAATGGAAAATCTTTATAGAATTGCGGTTGGAAATACTTGGTTTACAACATTGAATTACTTTGACAGTATTTCATCTTCCCATCAATGTATGATTTATAACTATGTTTTTGTTGTAAACTATATGAAGTATTGCCCAAATGCTGAATCTTGCAAGGTTGCTACAATTTGGCGTTTTATTTATCTGTCAGTTACTAACAAAACAAAAAGAAAATTGAAGAATAGATAGTCAGATCCCTTTGGACTAATAGCTCTTTAGCTGCCATATCTATCAAACTTGAATGGGAAGTGATCTCCCTTCATATACATTGACATCAAAACAGGATGTCATGTGAAAAATACTGATCTTTCTTAAATTTTTCTGATTAATTGATTATGATCAGCACAATTGATCATTGGAATCACCATTTTTTCACACACTGCTGATCGATGTTATCCGATCATAGATACCCATTACATGATATACTTAGTGGACACAAAGTACACTTTCAGTCATACATGGTACACTTTCAGTAGGTATAAGATCCACTTTCTTTAGTGTATATGGGATATATACTTTCAGTAGTTATGACACACTTTCAGTGGCCATAAAATACACTTCACTTAAAACTCCTAAGTTTATGTTGATGTGTATATAGCATTCCATTGGATGTCTTTTGATGATTTCATTCAATTTTTTTTTTTCATAGGCGATATGTCAGCAATGATACCCTTTTCAAAGAACTGACTGACACATCAAAGACTTTACCAGGGAACCGTCTCTTCCTGGGTGGAAATGCTCCAGTAATGGCACGCCGATTAGCTAACATGGGAGCAGATGTCTTGTTGGGTGCTAGATTTGCTAAAGATCTCATCAACACCATGCCAGATAATGTCAAGAGTAGGTATAAATATGATCCACATGCATTATTTGTATCATGAAAATCACCTCTTATTTACAACAGCTCTGGTGATTTTCAGTTTTCAGGGGAGTCCAGGACACAATTTTTAAACACCATTTTCAATATTGTGACAAGTCCCATTTCTAAGCACCATATTGGGTTCTCCATATTCAGATAATTCACACAGGAAAAACTAAAGTCTGGAACTCCAATAACTGAGTCACAAATGTCACTGCAGTGCAGCTTTATGCAATAAGGTTGATAATTTCATCGTTCTATGCTAATGCAGAAGTTTGTGTTTGGTACTTGTTTATAATCTCAGGGTTTGCTAAATTTTCAACTTTATGTTTTAGAGCAATTTATTTACATTGTGGACTTTTACAGTCAGACTTCTGTATACAATCAGAATTCAAATAAATTAAACAGGATGTACTAAACATATTCAAATACAGATATTTTGTTAAGTTTTAGTGTCTTGATATTAGTCATAATAATTTTTCAATGTTGGTTTGGTAAAACCAACACAGATTGAAGCTAGAAAGTGACAAAATAGAGAATGCAACACAAAGGATACAAGGCCTAAATTCCTAGATTAATCATTACTGCATGAAATGTATCTTGAACTAGAAATTACCCTACATCATGTGTGTCTTGAACCAGAGATACCCCATATCAAATGTGTCTTGAACCAGAGATTCCCTGTATCATGTTTGTCTTGAACTAGAAATTACCCTACATCATGTGTGTCTTGAAGCAGAGATACCCTATATCAATTGTGTCTTGAACCAGAGATTCCCTGTATCATGTTTGTCTTGAACTAGAAATTACCCTACATCATGTGTGTCTTGAAGCAGAGATACCCCATATCAAATGTGTCTTGAACCAGAGATTCCCTGTATCATGTTTGTCTTGAACTAGAAATTACCCTACATCATGTGTGTCTTGAAGCAGAGATACCCCATATCAATTGTGTCTTGAACCAGAGATTCCCTGTATCATGTTTGTCTTGAACTAGAAATTACCCTACATCATGTGTGTCTTGAAGCAGAGATACCCTATATCAATTGTGTCTTGAACCAGAGATTCCCTGTATCATGTTTGTCTTGAACTAGAAATTACCCTACATCATGTGTGTCTTGAAGCAGAGATACCCTATATCAATTGTGTCTTGAACCAGAGATTCCCTGTATCATGTTTGTCTTGAACTAGAAATTACCCTACATCATGTGTGTCTTGAAGCAGAGATACCCTATATCAATTGTGTCTTGAACCAGAGATTCCCTTTATTATTTGTGTCTTTAACCAGAGAGACCCTTTATCAAATGTGTCTTGAACCAGAGATTTCCTGTATCAATTGTGTCTTGAACCAGAGATATCCTGTATCATGTGTGTCTTGAACTTGAAATTACCCTACATCAAATGTGTCTTGAACCTGTGATATCCTATATAAACTTTTCTTACTAATTTGTTCCAACAGTTGTAGGTGATGTTTTGGAGGAGAATGACATCCATCTGTTATTAGAATACAAGACTGGTGAAGTCTGGGGAGAGTATCGTGCACCTCGGGCTAACAGGTAAACATTTGCCCTTCCTTTCATCAGGTCATTACTGAGTTATCATGTGTTATACTACAAAACATCTTATAAGTGATGTGATATTTTCTCCCAGCTGAATCCCTAGTGACATACATGATAACATGCCTCTGAAATGAATTTATGTAAAACACTATTACCGAGGGTACAGTTTGTTAGGTCAAATCCTAGGTATAAAGCACTTTATGAATAAGGTAATATGCTTTGAAACATCTGCTGCAAATACCCTAGAGATGCCACTTGTAATAACAGGTTTTCTGATAAAGCTGATATCAGTTCACCAGCAGAAAAGATTCAAAGGTCATTTTTGATTAATTGGTTACATGTTTTATATCTCTGTGACTCATTAGTCAGTTTGCTGGCCTTGAGTTCTTCTAAGTTATTTGAGGCTATTGGTGTTATGTGTAGCTCAGTCCAATATATTTACTGGTATATGATTGTATTCAATATCAAGGAATTAAAACTACATTTTCCATGCTCACCCTGACTAGTAAAAATATAACTGACATACGTTGACATTCTCAGAGCATTTTAAATGTGCATCTCTAACTGCTGTCTCTTAGAGTTTCATCGTCTCTCTTGTTTATTTAGGCTGATTGTACACAGTGATAACAGTAACCCTTACCTAGAGACTCTAGAAGCACTGGAGAAAGAACTGCCAAACTTTGACCCTTCCGTTCTGGTCATCGGTGGACTACAAATGATGGACAACTTTCCATTTAAAGAAGGTACTGTATAGTAAAAACTGTTTATGATAAATGAAAACCTGTAAAATACTAGCCGTTTACTGAGAACTGAGAACTTCCCTTTATTAAGCCAGAGATTGAATCCTAGCAGAGACATTTAAATACAAAATTACCTCTGTTACAATGACACCCATGTAGAGACTCTGGAATAATACTCTGCATTACTTTCACAATCATCACTGTAAGCCCTGGAAACTCCTGGATAAGTTCTTTCCTGGAGGGGGAGTATATACTTGAAGGGGAAGTTTGTAACTTTGTTAAACACAAGCCACAAATAGATACTGCATGGCTATAGAGAACGTCTCTTTAGCTTGATTGGTTGAACTTTAGACTTGTAAGCCAGAGGTTCAAATCCTAGGAGAGGCATTGAAAACAACATCATAACAAACACGTGAGAAAAAGTTACTACTTACCAGTCCATTCATACAGCTATGGAAATATTGAAGTGATACTTGGATAAATTGAAATGGCATTGGTTCAGTGTTTTCATGTTTGGTATATTAAAAAAAACTCTCCAGAAGTACTGGTATTCAAATTGTTAAAGTGTAACACTTGTTCAGAAATCAGAAAATACATTGGTCATGTCTGACAAAGACTATTATCTATTATCACAGGCAGAATTTAGTTCAAATACACAATGGTCCACAACTTCCTTTACAATGACAGCAATTTACAGAATTTATATGTATTTAGGTGTATTTTCAACGAAAAAAAAAAATAATACACACCAGGTAGTATGGTATAGTTATTTTTCCATTGAACTTAAATACATGTGTATGTACAAAATTAGGAATTATATCAATTAATGGAGGATATTACTTTTCAGGGGAAAGATTGGAACGTCTACATAAACTTAAAAACATGCTAATAAAAACACCAAAGAAAACAAGCATTCATTTTGAGATGGCATCATTTTCCGATGAAACTCTGATGCAGGAGATTTTGGACAATGTAATTCCTTATTCTGATTCCCTGGGGATGAATGAACAGGAACTTCCTAATCTAGTCAGTATGCTGACCAATGGCAACATATCACTGGTAGCAGATGCTTATCCTAGAGTAGCATCTACGCTAGATGAAATGCGATTGATCTATAAGAAATTAAAGAACACAGAAGAAATTGATGGTAAGCGTAAATTGACACGACTTCATGTACATACACTGGCATACCAAGCCATTCTAACAACCAAAGGCTCTGCATGGAGAAACACTATGGCTGCAGCTGCCAAAGCTTCACTGACAGCATATCGTCATGTCTGCGATTCAAAAGTCGTGGATTTGATGAAGGCTCGACTCATCATGGATGAATCATTTTCCACAAGTACAATGCCACCTGCACAACGTATAGCCTTACAAGAAGACCGCCCAGTGTCATGTTGGGAGGAAGATGACTACCAGATCTGTATTGCCCCTGTGCTGGTGTGTACAAAGGTTAAACAGACAGCAGGTGGAGGGGACAATATATCTTCTGCGGGGTTGATTGTACAAGTTGAGTAATTTTTAGAAATTGTTAATCCATAATTTACTGTGGAAAATGTGCAAATTTAGGGTTAGGGTTAGATTTTAAATAAGTCATCGAAATAGAATTTCAATATCCATATTTTATGATAAACATTAAAAACATTATTCACCATTTTTGAAGTAATTTGAAAACTATTTTTATTACCACCAACATTCCCAAAACATTCTTCAAATTCCTTGAATGTCATATTGCTTTCCCTTCCTGATACTTAAACAATCACTTTCATGACACCCTGTATGATTAATCTTGATTAATAATGATTGTATCGTGTACATTATGAAAATAAACACCAGGTAAATCAGGTACTGGTTCATGAATTTGAAATTTGAGGAAAATGAGACTCTGGTGTTACCATAACTTCAACAATAACAGAGAACTTGTTTGTCTTTCTTGAATCAATATTGATGCATTTCATATACAAGTTACTTTGCATACATAATTCTTACAGCCATTATAGAGGTTTAAAAGTTTCAAAAGAAAAGTATTTATGTACGGCTTTTAAAATTGTATTTTATTTTTTTATTGTAAATTTCTGATTTTACAGCACTTAAGAAATTTGAATTGAAAGAAAAATGTAAATAGTGTTTGACATATTACATAATGAAAACTTGTATGTACATCTACAATTTTGTGATATATATACTATTCATTTACACATATCAGTTTATAAAAACACTATTTATCACTGATTGTTTCATTAAGAATCAATTTTTTGTACCCGCAATAGCCTTTGATTGCATTTTGAAATCTTTGTCTTTGTCCATTCACATACACTTGTCAAAAATATTTCCTAATTAACTTAATCACAGCTTAAAATATCTCTAAAAATTGATTTTACTCGCTCCTTAAAAAATAAGGTATTGTTGATTTTACAGCAGGAATTTATATCTTTGCAAACATTTGCCAAGATTATGTGATATATTTACATGTTTTAACATAATAATAATTATTTTTGTGTTAATAGTGAGGTCTTGTACTTGTTCAAATTTGTAATAGTCCCAGTTTTTTTATAATGTTTTTTGTCCTTTTTTTTATATATATATATAATCCTTTACTACATGTGCACAATGTTACGTTTTATTTGTTCCACACTTGCTGTGTCCTTATGTAGCGGAAGAAAACTGAGATATATTTCCTACCAAAGAAATCCATTGACAGATCATAGTAGATCTTCTATATGTCTCTTAGACTTCAGAACATATCGGTAACAGTACTGAAGAAATAAGAAACCTTCGCAGATACATAAATTAATTATCTCCCCTAGATCACTAACAACTGCAATTATTTGAATTTGTGATACATGGGCTTCTGTAATTTGCATCACCCAGTATTTACTTTTTAATTTTTATTATCATGTTACATACCAATTTCTTATTTCAATAATTTTCATGTAATTGATTTTTATATAAAAATTAAATAAATTTAGATTGATAATTGATAGTCACCGAAATTGAATTGGTCATTTTAAGAAAAAGGTGTCTCTTAATGAATGGTAAAGGAATGTTTTGATTTTGTCTCTGCTATAATACATGTGTGTTCAGTTTTCTATAGTGATTATACATAATCTGTTTTGCTTTGTATTTACCACACATTTCTTTATATACATATACCATAGTCAAAGATTGAAATAAAAATGTGAATATATATTAGTCATATTTGCAATATGAAATGTATTTCATGTCCATGTACAAGTATATATATTCTTTATCATGGTGAACATTTCTTGTTCCTAGTATATAGGACACATTCTGTTACAAACCCTGTTTAGAAATTGTTTTTGTGAGTGCACTCTGTATAATGAGAGGTGCCAAATGCTGTCAAAAGACCAGCTTGATCTTCAAACTAAGACTGTTTTGAATTTAGTCTGAATTATTCTTATATTCATCAACTTAAGTTCCGATAAAAAGAAGTCAATATGATGTCAGATTTATTTGAACTATTTTGATTTACAATCTCTAAGTAAGATTTTATTCCACGTAAGTGTGTACATTTTCTGTTAGATTATGCATTTACCCCTATATTTTTGCTCATCTTTTAGCTTTCTTTAAACCTCTGAGAATATGGACGTATGGACAAGGCTATGAGTGGAAGAATCATTTTATCGGTTAATTGTGCCTTGACTTTATTTGAAAGAAAATGCCAATCCTGGAAGTTTGCTCATTGATTATTCAGTTCGTTTTTATCACGTCTGAATAGTGAACACCTTGTCATTGTTTTTGTTGATTGTTCAATTGATAAATATAAACAGTAGAATACAAGTGAGAGATTTAAATTATTATTATTATAATGGTATCTTCATCTATCATTAAGTTTTATAAACTGTTTGATATTTTATAAAAATTATGTAGATAAAATTTCTTTATCTCTTCAATAGAATAATGTACTATCTCAGACTGATTTCGAAGTGAATATTCTAGTGTTCCTTAATGAACTATAGGCACAGATTGTTCGTGCTGTCCTTGTTCATTACATCGAATTACATAATTTAGAAGTTTAATAATGATTTTCTCACTCCCAGTTTATCAAGACAATGTTTCGGCTCTTGATATTGTTGTTAAATGATTACGACTCTCTGTGAGGTGGTTATGCTATAATATAAGCCCACAGATATAGATGTGAAATAAAGAACATCATACAGATTTGGATGTATTTGGGAAGTAAGCTGAAAACAAGTAGGACTGTCACAGTTTCTCTCCTTAATATAGGGAATAAAAAGGGAGGTCAGAGCTGTAAGCAGTTATAAAAAATATACTTAGTGCAACTTGTCCACTCAGTATCTTCTAAGGTAGATTTATCTGTACCTTTCTAGTCCTTCCTGCCTCCCATTGGCTGTCAAGCTGATCATTATACCTATAGTACTGACAGAGTGAAACGAAGGCCAGTAACTTTGGGAGATCAAAATGTATTGTAGACAATTAGGTACTTTTTTTATTCTTCTCTGCCAGTCAAACATTTCTTACTAAATTGCCTCCCTCTCATTACTATAATTATTACTACTTATTGAATAGCAATGCTGCATCAAGCCTTTAGTCTTACCTTATAGAACATCATACAGAGTTCTGATGTGAAAAATTTGGTGTTATGGGATTTGGAAATTGTACAATTCCTTTTGTGTTATGTGTCATGTATCAACACCACTTGTACCTATATGTTGATAAGAAACGTACATAAAATGGCTTCTGAATTTTAATTTGTACTGAAAATTGTGGTATATTTTTCTGAAAATATCGAAATTAGGAACAACATTTGACTGAAACGAAAGTACATATGAATATTTTTTATGAGATGGTGCTTCATATGTACATACCTACCAAATCTTGGTTATCCCTACACACACAATATGTGTTTATATATATATATATATATATAATAATTGTATTATATACCATAATGACCAGCTTGATTTAATGATCTCATTTAACACAGACTGATAGAATTTTTCATACCCTTGGGGCGAAATGGGATGATCTCAACCGTAGGGGAAAAGGTTTTAAAATTGGCCTTATTTGCCAAGTGATTGGCATCTAATAATCTTTTCCCAAGGATTGAGATTACCCGGTCTTATCCTCAAGGAGGAGAATGATTATTTTTCTCTTAACCTTCTGGGTTTGTTTACAGCAAGTGATATGTGAATTCTTAGCATTGTTGAATTGATTTTATTGAAATGCTGATGTGACATCATTGAAGTGTAGCTGTGAAGTCAAACCATAGTCCTTACGGGTGAATCCATCGTCTTCTAATGGGAATGATAAGAAATTTCACCCCATTGAAAGTGTGGATGGACCTGTCCAGGGTAAGAATAGTAATATTTTCCTATCATAACATGGGTAAGGTAAAATCTGTGATTAATAGCAGAGACTTCTAGATATTCAAGTCCATGTTGACATAATTGTTCTGTTTACACATGTCTCCATTAGTTAATAAAATTGTTACCCGTGTTGTTTTTGTTTGTTTTTGTGGTCTCTCAAATAAGGTGGCTAATCCAGGCTTCTCTGATAATGCCATCCTATTTTTCCGCTTTAGGTTTATGTAACAAAACACAGTGTACAGAGCCAAGGTTGTGTGACAGTAGATTAGAGAACAATATTATTGGTGTTTAAAAAAACCTGTGTTTTTTGTCAAAAAAAGACAGTCAGGTATAAATAATTGTTGCCAAAGAGATTTTGACCGCCACCATTGTATGGCCTTCACTGGTTCAACTTTGATCTTTCTCCCACTTATCTTTTCTTTTTTTTTTTTACTGACCATTTTGTTCATTGCTGTCAGTTGTGCCAAAATTGAGAATGCGCATAAGGAATCAAGGGGAAAGGAATTCTTTCACGAACAATGGAATTTTGCCCACAACCCGATTTAATCCAAACCATATGGCATTTATAGCACCCCAATACACTCCCCTGAAATAGCACTTAAAAAAATTCAAATAATTTGTCCATACCTGCAAGAAATTGCAATTACGTTGTACAAATTGCACTATCAAAATCCAAGTTGGTTCTATATCAGAAGTTTTATATCTTCAATCAATCTTAGAATTTGACATGCATGACAAGGGTTAAGGAAAATCTATACATATATTTGAAATTTCAATAAAGATCCATCACAGACTATTCAAGAAAAATCACCAATTGTGCAAATCCAAGGTAGCAAATGACTTAATGATCAATAATGAAATTACAGCCAATTGCCAACACTTTGTATAACCCAGGGTTTTCCATAATTTTGCTAGTAGTGGGCTGTGTAGTGTAAGTAGGAGGCTGGCCTGCCATGTAAGTGTAGTCGTGTATGGAACATTATTATGGAACTGGATTGGTGTAGGCAGCCAAATGATCAAAGTAGCCGGTCAAATTGGCCGGCGACCGGCTCTTATGGAAAACCCTGATAACCTGGTAATAACCCCACCTATATCTATTGCCATTCAATAGAATTAAAAACAAAAGCTATTTCAACCCCATCCACTGACTTTTAAGTCATAGTTTGTGTGTTTATCACATGGGCCTATTACAAGATAAATATGGCCAGATAATTAAGAAAATAGACTTTAAGCCTCTCAACCATGTGAAGGTGAATCAGACATTTTTATGTGCTTAATGCAAAATTAAAAACTAACTTGAGGTCATTGGTAACTTGTTGAGAATTTTGAACCTATCAGAAAGCTAGGATTAGTAGTAACATCTACTTCTAGGCTATGGCAAAATGCTGAAATCCTAACTCTGCTATGTTTAGCTTGAAACACTCTGCTTGTTACATTTTTTAAGTAAAGAATGTTAAAGAACTACAATTTCATAAACAGGGGAGCTGGGATGTAATTTTCAAAGTTTGATAATTGGATACATCATCAGTCCTTAACCAACAAAAACTATTTAACAAAAAGTAAATTCCATATTATTATGACACAAATGCAAGTACGAAAAACACATTTAAACTATATATAGTTTCCAAAAAGACAGAAAAAATTATTTGTTTTAAACAGTATGATAGTCTTTCTATACTTCCTCATTATCACTAGAACAGACCTAAAATATTGTTGATTAAACATAATTTGCTTCAAAATAAATCCTGTGTTAAGAAACTAGGCTTGATAAAACTGGACTGTTTCTATTGATTAAAAGTTAGGTGTTACTGAAGTACGTCAAAATCTGTGTATAATCTGTACAGTTATCAGTTTTAACTGTTACATTAACATGTTCTCATTTAAATGAATAAACTTTATATATAATTGCTCAAAAGTAGAAGTCATTTGGACCAATAACTAGAGACTAAATATTTACTTATTTTATCAGAGCTGATATTGCAAATTATCCAATTCAATCACCTGGGAAAAGAAGTAATGTATTGGTGTCTGGAATGTGTCCTTCACAAAATCATGAAAGAAGTATTGTCCTCAGGAGGAGGTTTTATATCACAGTCTGTTTGTCATTACACAACATTGTTGGATCTCAATTCTTCCACTCCACAGTCTGAAACAAATCCCAAGAGAAATCGTCACAATGGCAAAACAAGCATGTAACCAAGTTAAACTCCGTGAGGTCATTGCATTACACACACTCGTTCGTATCAAACATAAAATTGCCATCATCTATGACAAGAACATGTAAGCTTAACAAGTCAGTATAATGTTCATATTTTTGTGGGAAACTGTTTTCATACACCGAAGGAGGCGGTTGTATATTGGCTTCATCTTCTCCGTTCATCTGTACGTCAATTTCTTGTGAACGCAACTCCTCCTAAACTAATCATCAGATTTTCATTTGCTCCACGTCACTAATACAATGGTTTGATGTGCATGAAGGGGCGATTTTATGGTTCATTGATTTTTGTAAGATTTATGCCATTTTCAACTTTGTGTCTGTAGCTTGCTCATAGTGGAGCCTTGTGAATGCAAGACTTCATTTTGAGCTTATGTATACAGACATGTTAAAAGCGATAATTAAAAGGACCAATCTTTGATCTTTATATTTTGTGGTGGCGTATATTGTGTCCACGGCACTCTTGTTTATATAATCAAAGTCTGAAGTATATGCATATTATAACCTCAATCAGTCATTGGGACTTCAACTAAAATAACTGCATCTGTGGGGGTATTACAGTTAGTAATCCTCAAGATAACAGTTCTAGTTCTAATTCTACAAAAAACATTTGGATGAAATTGTTTTTAAAGTGTTGGTTGTCATCTAGAGTTGGAAGTTCTAGATCTATTTAGGTCCAAAATTGAACATGCACCAATAAGGACCAAGGGAACTACCTATGAAATTTGTGAACTACCCTCCCTTGTCCAAAATTTCTCTAAAGATAGCAATAAAAACTTTACTATCGAGATTGAGATAGCTGTCTGGTGGCTTTTAAGCTTTGCTTGAAAAAATTGCTCATGTAGTAGACTAACCATCTCTTTGAAGAAGGCCTTACATTTCATGTATATCTTGATCTGACAGTTTGTGTGAAACAAAATAAAAATGAAACAAATGTCAAGTATTCAATGTTTATTCAATTTCAAATATTGAAAGGGGAAATTTGTTTATATATATATGGGTTACAACAACACATTCAACGTACAATATCAAATTCCAAAAGAACCAAAACAAATGTTGTCTACAGACTTCAAGGTTAACATTGAGTGATATACAAGTATTGCTTGTACAAGATGTAACCTTAATTATTGTCATTGGCTACACCAACTGTTTGTTACCACCTCAGAAACGTGTAACAAAATCCACATCGTCTTTGATATCTTATGTTTTGTTCTGATAAAGAGAGAACACTAGATCTGCCCATAGTAAACTCCTGATATTTAAGGAAATTCATCTTTAGTAAATAATATTCTAAATACAGCTATTGCATGGATCAATGCTATTGTCATATGGATGTACTGATGATTTGTATTGTAGCTGCAACCGCCTCTCTGAAATCCTTTCAGATAAATCCTAGAGAGAAAATTTCTTGTATATTGTGTGAAATGCATGAATATAAATTTTAACAACTTAATTTCATATTTTACTTCTAATACCATTTTTTTTGCAGATGTTTCTGTTTGTATTTTTGAAAACATTTATCAATAAGTAAGCCAAATATTTTAAGACGTATTTGGAATTTTGAGATTTTGAAGTACAGTTTGTTAGACTTTGCCACAAGTATGATGCTAAATCTGACTGACTTAACTTAAAACTAGTTCTTTTTCAAAAATAATGCAATATGGATACTATTTGTCTAACAAGTCATCACAGGTTCTTCCTCCTTCAGCAGATCAGAGATAATCACAAGGAACAGGTAATTAGGTCAGATTAGATTGTATCAGTATAATACATTTGCAGTGACCATTGAGAGTACCATTGAGAGTACCATTGATGTACACATACAAACGTATCTGGCCGTTTTGAACATACAACCTGTGTAACTATGGCCATTTTGAACATACAACCTGTTTAACAATCAGACTTCATAATTTTTAAGTCAAAATAGATTAGTAAATCTCATTAAAACAATGAAAAGATTGAAGTTTATGGGGGATCATCAATGATGTCTGATCAAGGTGTTTAAATATATTTTGGTAGATTTTTCTTGGTAGTAATTTCATCTCGGTAACTGATATTGACTTTTGCATGTTAACTTGGAAACTGTGAGGGTTAGTAATAATGTTAACACACAAACATTTAAATTGTTTTTTAAAAAAAACCACAATTACATAGGCAATAGCAATTATTTATATAATAATTACACACATATATGAAAAGAATGGCAATGCGAAACGAAAGTATTAATGAATCTTGAAAAGAGAGCCGCAGTAACATAAGATCCAATCAACAATGCGTATGCTGTAATATTAAATATCATTAAGGAAAGAGAAAACTGTTTGAGACACGGGGCAGATAAAATGACATGTTACATTTATATACATTCAAACACATTTACCAAAAACAGACCAGTGTATATTATAATACTGACCTGATCAAAGTTACTAATACATCCAATAAGTAGGCGTCTACTAGATACCACTACAACACAATGACAGAGATGTATGCACAAATGGAATGCCTCAGAACACTGCATTTTCAGTAAGGTTGGAGCGTCATATGTATTATCAAACCTGAGAAAGACCAGAGTATGGTGCAATAGAATACTGAGACATCTAAAATACTTCCTATAAGTTGTGGGACTGTCCTATGCGAGATATACTTGCAACTAAGCTTTACAGTTGTAGAAAACTACAATTGGACCACATGGAAGAATTAAACACTGTTAAGTACAAAATTTGAGGCCATAATCATGAATGATGACACTGCTGAAAGAACTCTTAAAAAAAAAAATAATAATAATCCATACCAAACCTGGTGCTGCATACATGTCTTTGAGCCTATTGTGATATTCAGCATTGCTAAAATGGTACCATCTGTAGGTACATCCTATTCCTAATTAAAGATTATGAAAAAATGACTTACTATTTGTCATTCTAGAGAACTGTCAGTTGAATGGTTTCTGAAAACTAAGTACAGTAAATTGTTTTCAAGTTAGCTAACTTCTTGCTTGGCGTGACACAACTCTCGTACAACCTTGACTTGCACAAACGACAAAAACTTCAGCAAAACTGGCAACAACCTGAGGTACAGAACTGGTAATAGCTGTCCTTTGTCATTTTTTGTTTTCATGGGAGGAGCCAAACATCTAAACAATGATGAATGATAATCCAAAGTTCGTCAGTATTCATCAAAAAGTTTTGAAATATTGCAATGCAAAAAGTTTGCTTAAATTTGTCATAAAGCTGGCAAAATTTTACACAAAAATAGTTGGCATTTTCTTCTTATCAGCATTTTAATAAGTATATGGTATTGCACTAAAGCTGCACTTTCTATTATTCAATTCCATTGACAAAATACATTTTTAGGATTTATATACCCAGAAAGTCAACATGATAAATTTATAAAATGGCATATGATAAGAAACAATAAAAAAAATAAATAGGTACAACAAAAAACAAACTACAAAGAAATGGAGTTTGTCATGCAATAACAAACTATGTCCACGGCTGTTTGACAGATTTTTCTATTGTTTGGTATAATGTGCTGAAGTTTGTGTCAGATCTTTTATTCCTAGCAGATCCAATGTTCAAAATTAAAGGTAATGTCATTTTTCTTATTAGCATAATCTGAGTGACAAATAATAAGTATAGGACGAACAAGATGTAGAGGCACTCAAGGTATAAAAAGTGTAATCAGTGGGAAAAATAATGACAAAGAGCAGGATAGGAAACCTAAATAAACTGCAGCAAAATATATAACAGTGACGAAGTTTTCATTATCAAGAACTAAAAGCAGAGAGTCCGTTTTTGATCACGAGATATATATTATTATACAAAACGAGGTACATACCAAAAAATAACATACCATGAAAATTGATCTGGATACTGAGGTAAGAATTCCTGTTGTTGCTAAGCTCTAGCTCCAATCATTGATGACTAGTAAACAATTGTGTGTGTGATAGATCTACATGCTGATGTAAAATATTCTGCACAAAAATGGCAAGGATAACAGTTTAAAATTTGGTGTGTAATATGACCCCTGTTTGTTCACTTTTACCTGGACTTTATCACTGCCATCGTCAAATTAGTCTACAGAGATTAGCTACGGCATATTACCAGGTCACAAGACCATGCAAGTATTATACTGGTCTCACTGAATTTACTTAGGTGATACTCTTCTATATGCAATATCGTTTGAAAAACTTTGGAACCAGGATTTATTAACAATGCTAGGTCTCACAAGCTGTTCCTAAGGTCATCGATTAAGGGCATGCAAGTATGACTGTTCTGTAATTAAAGAAAGAGATTCCACACTTTTTCCTTTAATTCAAACTGAACATTTTCAGAGTAAAGTCTGGCAAACTCTCTTTGATGAGGTTCACGGCATCAGACTAACTAGTTACCTGATACACATCCCTGCTCCAATTAGCCAGTTTAAATCAATATTAATATATATATGACATGAAGCTTTGCTGTTGTTCGTGTTTTGCTGTGATAATACAAAACAAAATAATTGGGAATATTTTCTTATATAACATAAATTATACTCAATTTAAGACTTCCATTTGAAAAAAAGCTATATTCTGATAAAATGATACCTATTTTTTTATATTAAAAAAAAATAACAAGATTGACCATGTGATTTTGTTTGCACTGGATGTATTCAGATACCACATATTGTGCTACTATTAAAACTATACAAGCTAGCTCTATCTCTTTCTTGCCAAAATGGTATTATACAAATGGCATAGTAACTGCTTATGACAGTGTCTGTACCTATTACAATGTATATGTGATTTATATATCAAACTTTTAATGTCTTTAAAAAAAGGTACAATCTTATCATACAAAACAAAACACAAAACAAGAAAACATTAACATTCCAAACATATTTGTAACATTAAAACACATTAAGTCAATTTGATAGTAATAAATAAAAGAAACAAAATATTTAACAGACAATAAAATTCACTCCCATACATAATTGTAGTACTGTTTTGACAGCATAAATAGTGTGTAAATATATATTTATAATATATATAAATATAATTTGTATCCTCACTTCAATCCAATGTAAAATGCTAAAAGCCAACTGTCTTCACAGTACTGACACAAAAAATCTATCTGAAATACTTTTTTTCAATCACATACAAAATATCCTGATATACCTAATGGGAATTTCAACTCTTCAAATCCCATATTTAGTATTTACAATCTGTGTGCAGTGTGTTGACAAATGTTTCTAAATGTGGATATATTTTTGTAGCTTAATTTGCTTCCAAAAGTACCAGTCTTTTGTTTGCTTTATTTCATTCAGCTTTGCATATTACTTATATATTGAAGTGAGTTTTGTTGATCAGCGATAGACAGGAAAACATGCAAAATCAGCCATTCTTTCAGGTTAAAATGCAAAAAATGCTGAAGGAAGTTGGTTTAGGGTTAAATTTGAAAACACATAAAATCAGTCTAAAAAATCTAAGACACTGTTAGAAAAGCACAAAACTTTACAAGGAATGACAGTGTTCAAATCAGTGCGAGTCTTCTGACATTTTAGTAATTAAAAGTTCTTATAATACTGACTTTTATACCAAATGGGCCGTCTCCCATCTTATGGCATAACCATTATGCAACGATGTCTAATATTTGATACAACTATGTCGGAAAAACAGGGGAAAATAGTATAAGTCAAAGTAAAAATAACTGCAAACATCCAGATTTGTGTTAATAGATTGAGCAGTGCTTGTAACTCCATATAGGTTCATTTGTTGTAACGAAATATATTCTTCGGTTGTAAAATGTTCCAAAAAAGGGGACATATTGAAATAGTCCATGGTTCAAGTCTTGTCTGAGAATTATAATTTGTAGACAACTAAAATACCTAACAAACTCCAGAAATTGCTCCTACTAAAATACCTCAATGTCTAACTCAACTAAATAGCTGAATTATGGCCATTCTACTCTCTGATAATGACATCAGAGTTTGGGATCAAACATCATAATATTCCATACAAAACACAGGAACAAAAGAAAATTCTATCATACAATAAAATTATATAATGATCAATATAAACTATTCCACAGATCCTTTCAAGAAGGTTTCAACAATATATATATATTTTTTTTTTTTTGCATTCTACAACATTTTCATTAATTGTTTGTTCAAGTACTTTGTTATATCATACATAAATTGATCTATATATAAATTCTTTGATGCAATTAGGTTCTTTGGTATACATGTAGTAGAGACCTCAGACAAGACAATGAATCAACGGTCATTGGTTGAACAGTTTGACTCGCACACCATTACTTAGAACAATAAACAAACTGGGAACAAATTCTGAAAATCGATGGATTCATCTGCAGCATTATAATAATTGCAATGTCATGGAAATAAGTTAAAATGAAAATGTATTAAATGTAAACTTTACAGGACTATACATCTACCACCATTTTCTTGTGGACATCCATATTTCCTACAACCTGAAATTACAAAGAAAGATAGGTATAAGCACCTAACACATTTATTGTCAAAAACATGCAAATTTGAACTAGTACGGTTATGCTTTGATTTTTTTTTTCTTTTTTTGAATGCTTCAGCTTGTTAGTTACAACTCTAAGACAGTCACATATGGACGTTGATGTAGTTTAGCTTACTCATCATTCTTAAGATTTGAATTGACACACTTTGAAATACAGAGCAAAAATCTTCCTAGACACATTCAAAAAGTTGTTGGTTACAGAATCCATGTCTCTGAGAATCATCAGTTAGATATATATAATACTGACATTAACATTTTTATGTTTCCTCAACACTATACCATGACAATACTTTTGAAAGTAAGCATGTATATAATTAAGACAATACATGTATATTAAGCATTTACATATATGGTATTACAGAGAAAAAACATTCTATTGTATTGCAGATTTTTAACTACGAAAATACTTTGTGTACCAAAAATATATTTGTAAACTTATGTATTTTTTTTTCTTTTAAAATTTAGAGAAAGCATCGTACTTATAAAATAATTGGTGTCCTGTTTTTTTTGGAAATTCTTTTGACATAAAATAGCCATCCATTCAGCTTTCAACATGTACAGTTGAATACCTACCCATATGACTACTAATGCTGAGAATTGTGCATGGCCAATATCACTTCAAACATAATATTCACATGTCATTTTCTTTTCTTTTTATTTTCTTTCTTTTTGTGTTTTAAATATTTCAGTGAAGATTACCTGGATATGCACACAATATATATATTTGATTTATATATTTAAGTTTTAACATGACTTAGAAAATAATAATAAACTTACAGCACAAAATTCTTCAAAGGATATTTTTCCATCTCCATCAGCATCTGCATGGATGATGGTTTTATCCACTATCTGCTGAAGCTGCGTATCTTTAAGGTTGTTGCCTACCATCATCTTTAGTACTTGAAACAGTTCTCCATTGGAAATATACCCATCTTTGTCCATGTCGTAGATTTTGAATGCAACTAAACACATCAAGCCATTTATAAATATTGATACAAAACTTCGAAGAAAGTAGCTTTTAACTGTGCATTAAAAATGTTAAGTTAATATTACATTGATTGAAATGTGAAAATGCTTATCATTTCTGACGGACAAATTTATAGAAACAGAGAAAAAAATTACTTACATCTTAATTTTGATAGCTTGTCTCCTTTCACGCTAAATTGAGATACACCCTCGATGAATTCTGAAAAAATAACATGTTACTGATAAAAAAAAAGTCATTAACACAAAATATGAAACAAAATCAACATAGTTCGTTAACTGACATCTATATCATGGCAAATACTTCACTCGATCATATGGATGAGTTGAAATAAAGTTTTAATATGTTGATGATACAAGCAAACAGAGGTAGAAAAGTTCTTTCAATCAATCATCTACTTTGTCAAGGGAGGTAATCATACATGAAATCTGATACTCACAATCACTATGCCTACCAATTTTCAGATCTAGATATACATCAGACAATACATAAATCTAACTTCTTTGTCATTACTTACGTCCACTCAAAATGTAAAGAAATCAATCACTATGCCTATTTATATAATTGGAAAGCAAAATTCTACTTGCATACCTTATATTTGAAGACAACATGTTAAACAGTAATTAAAAGACAAGTTGGATCAATCAGCAACATGACTTTCAATAGCCAGTATCCATCAAGGCAACAATCTTACTTAAATGTAAAAAAAATGGCATGACACATGTACAAACCCTCTTCTCTCTAAACTTCTTTCAAAAAAATAAGAGGGATCACTTGACTATACTAGTGACATGAGCAAGTCTTCAGATGTTCATTAAAAAAATTACAACTAGAAATATCAACAGAAGGAGGTGTTGTAAATAGGGGTGCAAAATATATTTGTATAGTATATGGCAATGCATATGACCTGTATTGTATTCTAATGCAGTGTAGAATCTACATTCTTGTTTTCATGATATTTGTTTAACTGCAGAATATATTTCATCCTCGATACTCAAAAGGTTACAATCAATTTTGCTCTCTGCACCCTTGAAACATCAGGCAAAACTGAATGCATAAGCAAAGTAATATGAATGGTTCTAGAAAAAAAAATCTGACTGACTAATCACAAATTGATATGCTCCAATTGAAGTTTACAAAGTAGCCACATCCAACTTCAAAGCCATTAGAATATACCATTATGTGACCTCTAGATATGTTTTATGTATATCAAAGGATCAAACTAGTCTTTTCATTTTGTCCACAAGGTGACATACATGGAACCTTCAAATTTGCCACATGTTCCTGGGGTGCAGAGAGAGAAAGTGATCATAACCCCTGGAGTATCGAGGATTAATTTGTTTGCAAAATATTTAAACAAAACTGTTCAAAAGCATAAACTTTGATCTGATTGACGCTTAATCTAGGTCTTATCCAAATGCAAGTGCATAATGACACATACCATGTACATGTCAACATCAAAGTACAGGCAAAATACCGCAATATACATCTAAACATGATCCTCCTGTATGGCAACACATATCACAATACGCTAAAACTAAACAGTTACACCCACAATCAGAAAACAATCATAAAATAATAATATCCTTACCTTTGAAATCTACTTCTCCATTGCCATCAGTATCAAATATGTCTATCACTCGCTGCACCAGAGGATTTTGTTGTAGTTCTGGTAAAGTCATAAATTCATCTACACTCAGGGATCCAGAGTTATCCAAATCAAGTTTACGAAAACGTTTGCCTAATCTCTTAATCTCATCTGGATCAACTGGATATAAAAAAGCACAAAAAAAAATGTAAAAATTGACAATTTAAATTATTTTATCATGTTCTTTATATGTTTATAAATAATAATGGGTTCAAAAATTTTGATTTATTTTGTTTTTTCCTTGACATTTACATAAAAACATAAAACTAGAAGTGTTGCAACTATACAGTCATCATTATAACTTGCACATTGCTGGTAATTTTCCAACTGAACAATCAGAATGTTGTGCAGAAATTTTTTAAGATTAAGCATATAAATATTAAGTTTTACAACCTAAATTACAATACTTCAATTGTGATACAGTATCTGGAATGAATTTCTCAAACATAGATAATTAAAGACATGTCAAATTTTATGAGATTGTACTTACAATTTGAGCATAACTCCATGGGCAAAGAGTTTTCATTTCCCTGAAAAGAAAAAGTTTCAACAAATTAATGACTGACCTACCAATAAATTTATTACAATTATTACAGGTTTCCATGGTTTCCAACAAAATTTAATTTGCAGGACATAACTGAATTTTTCATGCATCATTTTCATCATTTTTAAGATGTAGCTTTTAGTAGCATGTTGCGATATAAAACAGAAGATAGAAGAATGTTTGATAACCATAATTGTTTTTATACATTTCTTCTAGCAAATTAGAAAACTGCTTAACAGTTTCTTATTTTATTACATCTCTGTATACATGTATTTGTTCTAAGCCTTTTAAATATGTACAAATGTCACGCTGCATCATTCTTGATGTTGCAATGTCAATTAATTTTGCTATTATGACTTGCAGTTGAATTTTCATAGTTGGGATGATCTAAAGGGAATAGGTGCTGCACTTATTAATTACAAGCAATCTTTTCATAAATTTTGGCTGTTGTAGAATGAAACTTACACAAGCTATCAAGATTTTTAAAAAAAATTGTCTTAAAATAAGTCCATTAGTCTGATAGAGCAATGATAAGCAAATGATCAAAGATGAAAGAAAGGACAATACCATAATACTAGCTGTCCAAAACAAATTAAATGTTTTCATGTCTACTCATTTTCCTATCAAAAACTATACATCCAAAAAAATCGACAACATCAACTTTTGCTAAAGAGAGTGTAAACTATTAATTATGGCGAGCGTTTAATCATCACTCGTAGCAGATAAGAACATGATGTATCAAATATACCACTTGATCACATGACGAACTTTGATACTAGATTTTATGTGTGAAATAATTGTCCACATGAGGCAAAGTAATCAGTATTCTTGATAACAAGCATAATATGGTGAATATGGTATAAATGATGTGACTAGACAGACTGCAGATCCCTCCTCCCCAACCAATTATATGAATTACAATATCTAAATCTCGCTCTGTAATCATATATATATAGTAAGCAAATTATTAATCCCAAACTTTCAAGTTTTTGTGCAATTTCCAGCAACAGACCTGAGGGCTTCAGAAAAATACCCAAAAGTATGCTGCATGCTTGGTAACCACTAATACATACAGTGAATTAAAGTATTGCTGTGATGATTGGAAAGTACTGCTATGTTGGCTGATAACTCCTGATCTATTCCATGATCTATGAATAAAATGTATCAAAACCTACCTTGCATTTTAACAGTGTATACACATAGTTTTTAGCATGAACTACTTCTTTTGGAGCTATCTGAACTCATAAATTAATCACATGAGGATATCTACTATGAATGCTGATGTATGTATAAAATTGATTATATTAAAGACAGCTAGGCTTCCAGCACATTCTCATATGCAAATTGGTGTATATTTTGGAGTGTGGATTATTTAATTTGGATCATGTATCCCTTAAATCATATTTTACAAAACAATATTAACTCATAGTAAATTGTAACTACGACCATTCTATTTTTGGAATTATCATAATTTTGGAATAAATCATTAGCTTAGATACTGAAGTAGACCTTATACATTTTCATTTTGACATAAATCACCAGTCCTGTCAGAATTGATTTGCATGTTATATTTTCAAATTGTACATAATTCCTCACACGACCCTAAGTAGAAATGACTAAGTATCACTTGAGCATCAATTCAACAGCTCTTAAATTAAAACTAAGAATATCTGTGAAGGAAGAAACTGTTGTCAGCTGCTGAAGTAAGCATACTGTGTGCATACCAACGTTACAACACAGTGTATCTGCGTTATAATGATAGTGTAACTGATGTCACAACATTGATATCGGTACCTGAAAAGGAAACGTTTAACTACGTCAATGACAATGAAGCAATCTTAACTACAGTACAGTCAACCCGAATTTATGAGGACCGACTGATTATGAACAAGTTGATTCGGTTCCAATCTGATAACAGGACGTTTCGGTCTAATTTCGGTTCTCAGACATAAATGATATGTTAAAAATTTTGCATATCATTAACATTATATTCGTGTTTTGCAATGTAGGGTATCTTCTGGTTCAAGAACCCCCTTATCTTACCATTTTTGTAGCTTGCTGTGTCTACTACGACAGGTAAAATATTATTGCGATTCCCTGGGCCCAGACACCAACATCCGGGTTCTCCTCATAGAATGCTGCTGTTTGCGCAAGTCATACAGGATGTGGTATTGCGCTTCCTCTCTCTACCGGTGCAATGGCGACTGGGGTAGGTAATCGTGGCACTTAAAGTGCAATCGCCCGTGTTACTAAACAATCTCGGTACTTGAAGTTCAATGCATTTTACAATTTAAAGATACATAACAGATAGATATTTTGTTATAATTATTTTTTATTATTTTCATTCAGACTCTCTACACGTACCCCGAAAACTTTCGTGCTTACAAGGCACTAATCGCTGCTCAGTACAGCGGTGCAAAAGTCACCGTCTCCTCTGGCTTCAAATTAGGAGAATCTAATACCACGAAGGAGTTCCTGCAAAAATTTCCACTTGGAAAGGTTTGTATATGATGGTTATTTGTCTTCTCTTGAATTGATGCGTATCATATTAGTAAGGACTGCTGCTGAAGGAAAGAAAATGTTGATTTTGGCATCCGGCTGGACTGACCGGGGGACTCGCGAGTTGCATTCATAAAAAACCACCTGTATGGCCATGTCCAATGATGTATATCCAAAAGTTGTTTCTTAACAGTAATGGTTGTTATTACTACGACCATGTATTTTTATGACGTTTGGTGTAATTGATTTTACCGACTCCCAATCCTTCAATGTTGATTTTCCACTGATTTTGTTTCATTTGCTGACAGATTCTTCAACGCTATACAGTGTTTAGTTCGAGTGGAATATTTCGCTTTCAGTCAAGTGTATCGTGAAAAAAGAGGTGTCTGCCTTCTACACTATTGTTGACATTTTTGACACGGTCGAAGTAACACTTGATTAAATTGGTGTCGAATGTACCATGTGACCGGTAATCTCATTATTTCAGGACAGCTATGGAGGAAATGACACTAATAACAGCTGAAGGAACTGTTATGTTGTCTCTTTCACTTTTATCTTAATATAAAAAAAATAATTCAGCGTGGTTTGTTTCATGCATACTGGCTTTCTCCTCAATTGCTCAATTTTAAGTCAATTTAACCCCTGTAGATTTCTGCTTCTCACCTTAAGATATAATTAATCACTGATAAAGTGAAAACTTATTGAATATGTATCAAGTGTCGCTGTCAATGCAAAGAGAATAACTCTAGACTTTTTTGTTGTGTGTTGCAGGTTCCGGCCTTTGAAAGTAGCAATGGTGATTGTGTCTTCGAAAGCAATGCCATAGCCCACTATGGTAAGTTTAATCCAGTGTGAATTATGTCACCACTAAACTATGAGAAAATACAGAAAACTGAAATAACTTATCCCTCTATCAAAGGCATGTTTGTCCTTGGCAGACTTATGTGTAAGAAATGGAGGTAGATTGAACAGATTGACTGGTTGATTTTACATGTAATGCATTGCTGTGTTACTTGAAACAGACTGTCTAACAACTATTTTTATGAAAGAAATTTTTAATTTACACATGTATATACATCTTGAGATAGAACCTGGATGATATAAAGGTTCCAGGATATACATATAATATCTGATTCAGGGTAATGTTGTTCTTGAGAACATCTGGCTTTTATATTACCTGCAAATATAATCACACCGTTTACCATAACAATCTGACAATCTTGTGTAACAGCTATTGGCAACTTCAGCATATACTGTACAAACTGCCGACAGACCAAGTAGCTATTGTAAAAACACCTGTAATAGCTGTATTAGCATATCAAAGGTACCTATATTCTTGTTTGTATGCAATTTTAAATCAAAAGAAAAAAAGATCGGAAATGTACTCCAGATAGCAACTTTTATAGCTACAAAAGTTGATAGGTAGATTATACTACTCCTGATCTGATGTTGTCTACTGGAAACAGAATAATCTAAATATTAAGCAAAATCTGGACCCAAGAACCTGACTGAAGTGATATCAGTCTGTGCTGTTAACCTTTATCATACATATACAGTTGCTGGTACTGATAATCAGAGACAAATAGTGTTATTTCGTTTACTAGCCTACAATTGTCAGATTTGCTCTATATCCATCGTCCATCTTAAGTAATATTTGTTATTGCCATTTCTTGAGAAGTATTGGATGGATCTTTCTCAAATTTCATTTGTAGGTTTCCCTTGGTTCCTAGTTGTGTCCATGTGATTTTGGTACTATTCAGAAAAATAAAAGGCAGGCAGCCGTCTGGGATTTTGACTTAAAAATTTATTGCTTTCCAACTTTTTAAAAACAAGTGGATTAAATGACCATGGGTACCAAGATCCCTCTGGTATTTATTTTTGTTGTTAAGCCATTCAGAACTGCTCAGCTTTGGATGTGTAGTTCATCACTTATTCTTATTCCAGACTGTACAACGTTGAATGTGATTATATTCTGGTGGCAATAAGATTAAAAAAAATCTTTCCTCAGTTGGTGTCATTGTATAATTTGCCATAGTTTTAAAAAAGTGTTTTGCATTTACAATACTTAATGATAGTTCACTGTTGAATTTGTTTGCTCAGTTTATCACCACATGAACAGCCAAACATTTTAAGGCATTTCCTCCTTGAAGTAACCTCAAGTAACAACATAAGAGAGGCCCTTGCCATGTCTTTTAGAGCAATTAGGATAAAATATCTTGCCCACATACACAATCATGTCAGCACATGTTTAACTTCCCAAGAAACATAAACTATCATCGGAAGGGCATATCAACCACACACCTCATATTTTCATCAGAGGTTCTGTTGTTGAGAGCATGGGGTGCATAGAAAAAAATGAAAGTAAGACATACAAACATCTTCACGATAAATTCTTGGGGATTCATGAAGGAAATAAATCATGGCTAGTCATAGGAATTCAATAGTACCAAAAACAGTGTCAAAACAAAAAGTTAAAACCTAAGCAAAATCATTAGTGATGTTGCTATTGGGGATTACGAAGAAAAATATCGGGAACTTCCATATTACCTTAATCCTCCATCAAAGGCATGTTTGTCCTTGTTAGACTTGCGTGTAAGAACTGGAGGCATATTGACCAGACATGATAGATTTTTTACTGGTAATGCATTAGATTGTGTTACTTAACACTATTTGTCTAACAGTTATTGGCTAGTAATTGTACCCAAGACCAGAAGTAAGATTGATGAAGTAAGAAATTTATGAAGAAAATGTTTGTTTTGATTGTTTTCAGTTGGAAATGCTCAGCTGCAAGGCAGTAACACCCATGACCAGGCTGTAATCCAGCAATGGATTAATTTTGGTGACAATGAAATTTACCCAGCGTCATGCACCTGGGTGTTCCCTACTCTAGGGATTACACCATTTAACAAGCAGGTAAACTTATTCTTGTGATTCAGAGAGGTGATAAGCCACATTATCACTGTTGAAAGATTGCTAATCATTTCAAGGTTGAAGGCTTGATAAAGAAAGTAATGTATTGATCAGTATTTTTAACTGAAAATGTGAAGGCATATTAATTGGGATTTGGACACAAATTTTTATTGGCCAACATGAAATAAGTTTTATATGGGAAGCTGTAGAGCACACTATGTTGCGATCATAAAACTCTAAGCGTTAACAGAATTTCTTGGCTGTTACTGGGACTGAGCTATATAATATAACCGTTCCTAATTTTTAGGAAGGTGATAAGGCAAAAGAGCAGATGAAAAAAGCTCTGACGGTGCTCAATAATTATTTAAGGACAAGGACTTACCTCGTTGGAGAGCGCATCTCCCAAGCTGACATCAGTCTTGCATGTAACCTCATGCTTGCTTACCAAAATGTAAGTAATCCATTTTTTGTTATTTTGTTTTTAAACTTCTTGCATTTTATAGCAAAGCATCCAAGTTTCAAAATTTTAAAGAATGAATGAAGTTAGATTTAAGTGTGCTATTTTCATTAGATGTATGCAAAATAAATAAATTTGATTTCTGGTGATAATTAAAGGTTATGGATCCATCATTCCGAGGGTCATTTGGAAATGTGAACCGGTGGTTCAACACGCTCATCAATCAACCACAATTCAAGTCTGTCATTGGGTCATTCTCCCTTTGTTCCAAAATGAAGGAGGCAGATGGTAAGAATAATGCTTACTTATTTGAGACACAATTTATGCTAGATGTGATTGATGGAAATCATTTCCATTATGTATATTAAACTAATAGAATACCTAAAATTAAAAGGAGCATGATTTTCAAGATGTATAATAAACTATCAGAATACCTAAAGTTAAGAGATCTGTTACAGTTGGTCATATGTTATGGAAGTCAATTGCAGATACAATCTTTGACATTATGGTGGTTTATTTGTAAGGAGTGTTTTGAATACAGCACCCCATACTGCCGCAGGGTTTGCCATAATTTTGCTAGTAGTGGGCTGTGTAGTGTAAGTAGGAGGCTGGCCTGCCATGTAAGTGTAGTCGTGTATGGAACATTATTATGGAACTGGATTGGTGTAGGCAGCCAAATGATCAAAGTAGCCGGTCAAATTGGGCGGCGACCGGCTCTTATGGAAAACCCTGCTGCCGGTTCTTTTAGGAGGTAACTCCTTTGCAGTACTTTGATTTTTACCACCTTCTGGATAAAAGTGTCCAAACTGAAAGGATTAGAAAGATTCGTTTAAATTTTGGGTTTAGAGGTTATAGCTGAAGTAAATGGAAAATAGTTCAAAATTTCACAAGTGATATGGATGTCTTATTACTGACTTCATGAAAACAAAGCTTTTCATATAGAACTTGTTTTGTTAAATCCTATCAAGTGTTCCTTTTGTATAACAAATATAGTTGGACTGTTCATGATTTATCTTGAAGGAAAGAAATATGCAGAGCTCCATGGTGGTGGTAAAAAGGAAGGCAAGTCCAAGAAGGAACAAAAGAAGGAACAGCCTAAGAAGCAACAGCCGAAGAAAGAAACGGTGTGAAGGAATTTAATATCTCATTCAGTCTGGCCATCCTATCTCAAACTGATTTCAATGAAACTGCACATATCATAGCTTCCCCCAAGCATTGCACATCTGGATATTATTTTTAGCCAATATTCATAGGATGGTGGGCTATTCAAATTACCCTGTGCTTGTAGTCCCAACCTCCATCCTGAAACAACTCATTCTGGATAATTCTTCTTTAGAACTGAATATATCTTATTTCATATGCAGGTCTCCTTGATCCATTATGTTGTATTATCAGATTTGGTACTGATTTTTAAAAAATGGTTGACGTGTGGTCATCTTGGAATTTATAGGTACAGGTTATAAACACTATTTCTTAATTATATTCTCAAATTTTCTGAAATTGAGAGCAAAAGAACCAAGTTTTAAAGAGCTAATAAAGATTATACATTGGTGGGTAAAATGAGTGACATATGCCTTCAGTTCAGTTAGTTCTTGCGACTTTTATACCAATGTTCCAGCTTTTACATAATGAAAACCTTGACTATGGTCTTCTGAAAACATAAAAAAGAAAAATCATTTGTGAAATATGCAGTGTATCAGGAAGCATCCATTGCATTACTGATTAACAGATCCAGAATTCAGGATAAAATCAACAAAGTTTAAATAATAATATAACTGTATTTATTTGTATCAAAAATAATTGATAATAGATGTTAGCATCTTAAATAAGTACAGGGAAAAAACCTTGATAATTATTTCATAAATTTTTTAGCTCACCTGGCCCAAGGGGCCAAATGTTTTGATAATTAGCTGGTATGTTTCGAGGATAAAGCAAGACAAAGTTTGTGAAAAGACCTATATTCAAGGCCACATGGGCCAAATTTGTCAAAATCTTAAATGACTTCTTCTCTTGAACTGAAACACCTAGATGCATGATATTTGGCTGGTATGTTCCAAGAATTAAAACCTGACAAAATGTGCAAAAAAATGACCTTGACCTATTTATAAGGTCACAGAAGTCAAACTTGTTAAAATCTTTAAATGATTTCTCATGAACACATATGCATAGAGGCATGTTTGGCTGGTATGTTCCTTTGATAAATCCCAGCAAAGTTTGTGAAAAGAAATGATCTGGACTGTTATTTAAGATCAAGGGGTTCAAATTTGTGAAAATTTTAAACTACTTCTTCTGATGAACTGTAAGGTTTAGAGGTATAATATGTGCATGGTATAAACATGCCAAGTGAGCCCTGCAGGCTCATTGGGTGTCTTGTTTTCCCTTTCTATCCAAATTATTTGCAACATAGGATATTCTTACTATACCTGTATTGTAGTATAATGAAAGTATGTCATGTGTCTATAAAAAGATGTTAGAATTTGTGCTTCTGTAGTAAAAATTTCATCAGTGCTAGTATGAATGTCAAGTTGGGAAATTTTTTTAATTGCACTCCCTTGTAATTGGATTTTTTCTTTAAGATTGAAGTGCAATTCTTCCTTTTGAATTATCTCTACTGATCATTGACTATTCAGGATGAGTGCAAGAAGACAGCTTAATGCAGTTTATACAGGTCTTGCAAACCTTTTCCCTGTTGATCCTTACATGTATTTTGTATAAATTTAGTTCAATCAAATGAATGATAAGATTTGTTTAGATATACTAGGGAATTGAAATGGGACATAAAATTTTTACAGGAGGTGGAACCAGAGGATGATATACCACAATTACCCAAAGAAAAGAAGGACCCTTGGGCAGAGTGTCCACCAACGTAAGTGTCCTGATTATAAGTTGTATTGAGTGTGTTGTTAATGTTAAATCAATCCCCTGTAGCTTCTTTTATCTTAATGATAATTCACATGAGGTTGGGTTGGATCTAGAAAAGATCACTTTTCATGTCTTTATGTGCAACTGTCTGTTATAGATACTTGGGTAAAAGAATATCATTAGGTATTGATAATAACAGGTACTCGTTATGTTTCTGTAGAGAGGCTAAGTTGATAAAGAAATGATAGTATATGATTAAACAGAATCATTAAATATTTTGGTTTTAGATTCAAAGTTTGAAAGGGGTAGGGGTTGAAAAAATGCTCTAGTTTTTAGCTCGCCAGGGCCAATTGGCAGGGCCCAACTGGGAAAATCTAACCCCCAAATTTAGTTTATTTTCATATCATTGCTTTGCACCATCAACAATTCATTTGGATATTCGGTTCTTTGAAACAGCTGTGATCCCTGTTGAAAAGCTTTAGCATTGCTGAGCATCGGGAGATCAACACAATCATAACTGACAATATGTCCTTTTGTCTGGTCCCTTCCAAATCCAGATTATATCATTGAAGCCATTGAGATTACCATCCCATAATTTAATAGCATTGCTTGACATCAGGAGATTAACAACTGATGATTTTGATTAAGCCATGTGGCTACCTCGTGTATACTCTATTTATCATTTGCCATTTTATTTAAGTTGCGTTGGGTCCAAGAGGTTCGAAACCAACACAACTTCTCTCCCTTGAGCTTTTGGATGCAGAACAAACACAGATTAGGAAGAATAAATTGATTAATTAATTTTGATATTTTTTAAAATCAAAACAACTGAATTGTTTGACCCACAAGATCTTTTTTCGTCAAGATCTTATTTTCTGTATCATGTTTATTTACCCCTACATTTGAATTTTTTGGGGTTCCTGTTTAACCAGTAACCCATATAATTCAGTTTGTAGTAGCACCCATCACTCATTAAATGCATTTTAGTGTTGTCCCTACACCCACAAAAGAAACCACCAAAAATATGACAATTCATCTGCCGCAAAACGCCCCCACACGTTTTATTTAAGAACCTCCTTAATAATATTCAGTATGCATAATACTTTTAAACATTTTAGTTTATATACACAAGTCAAGGTATATATGGTGTCAATTTTGCAGTATTATTGTCAACATCTTCAGTTTATATGCACACCACAGTATTGTAAAATAAAATAATCCAACTGATTTGATTTTACTGGCCATAGGTCAAATTTGAAGGGCCAAAGGTCAAAATTTGAAATAACAGTGATATGTGCAAATACTGATTCATAGTTTGTTCTAGATATTGTTTCCTTTTCAGAAAATTCAACTTTGATGAATTTAAAAGGGAATATTCCAATAAGGATATAGTGAAAGAGGCGTTACCTTACTTCTGGAAACACTTTGAGCCAGAAAACATGTCTATTTGGCATTGTGACTACAATTACAAAGATGACCTGTCACAAGTCTTCATGACCTCAAACCTGATGAGAGGTGATTATTTAAAGAATGTTAGATATTATACTTTATTTGTTTATTGATACTAGACAAATATGTAATCTTTGATGCAGAGTTATTTACTGCAAAAATTTTGCATTATATGCAAAAAATGAAAAACCTAACCTTCCAAACTATCCTGTCTCTCCCTCTCATTAAAGATCACAGTTGTCTGAGATGTATTTTTACTTCCACAGGATTTTTCCAAAGAATTGACAAAATGCGCAAGAATTCCTTTGCAAGCATGTGCATTTTAGGAGAAGAGAAGGGTCACAATATAAGTGGCGTTTGGTTCTGGAGGGGACAAAATCTTGCTTTTGAGGTGAGTTGATATGTTTAGAAGTGCATGTATCTTTTAGATATCTCATTGTAGCTTTCCTGATCACGTGGATGGCAGGTTTATGTTGTAGGTAATTTAACTGATGATGATAAATCATTCATACCTGAAAAAATTTCTTGCATTATAAAAGTTGGATGAAAATCTCACAGCATGATAGGTAAAATGGATGACAGAAAATATTTCATGGTTATTTGCAGAAAGTTTTTTAAAGATTTTCTCTTGTTTTTCTCTCGCTGTAGTTGAACGAGGACTGGTCTGTGGACTATGAATCATACACATGGAAAAAACTAGACCCTAGTGATGAGAAAGACAGGAAATTGGTGGAAGATTACTTTAGCACGCCTGATATAGTTAATGGGGAAAAATTCATTGACGGAAATGTCTTCAAGTGATTGATGACAGCAGTGAAAACTTATTTATACTTACAGAATGGGACAGATGGATAATACTTGGAAGTGCTGTGTCATATAGACATTAAACATGTTGACAGTGAACTGGTAAACTTGTGTTTTGTTCTTTATTTTTATTTCACATGGCCAAAAGAGCCAGTTGAGCTATAGGGATATTGCAGCATCAAACATCTGTCCATCATTTGTCAACTTTTCCTATAAATCACTACTAGTCATGAATAAGGATGGGATTTTTGTTGACCAAGTTTGGTCTGAAGCATAAGGAATTAAGGTTATATAAACTTGGGGTTGTGGCCACAAGGGGCGGTGCCCAATCAGGGAAATGGAGCAAATTCTCATCCTCTGTCTTTTGGAATAAACTGGATGTTCCAATTTTGTTTAAAGCATTGCTTGAGTGCAGCAAATCAGTTTTGTAAAAATGATGGATTTCAGCCCTCTCAAGTAGGAAGGGTGGGGCTAAATGGGGGAAATTCTTTAGAATTTTTGTTCTTGTGTAGGAATGCCTAGATTCTGTCCCGATTTGGTTCAAGACATGCTTCAGTGAAGGGTATCAATTGTGTATCAACGGTGGGTTTTGGCTCTTTAGGGCAGAAGTGGTGGGGCTCAATAGTAGAAATAGAGAAAATCTTACTTTGGTTTGAAGGGTTCAATTTTGTTAAGATTTAATCTGAAGTTTTCCTTGGTGAAGTTCTCTTAGGAGTTGGGATGGGCCTGATATGGAAAATAACTATATCAAATGCCTTTCCTTTAGTTTATCAACTTCAGTGAATTCCACAATGTGCGCAATGCAGGCCTTCCCCTGGGTCCAAAGTTGTGCCCATTTGATTGATCAGAAAAATAAAATGGCCAACAGGAGGCCGTCTTGGACTTTGGTTGTGGGACTGATCAGAAGAAAATGGTCGACAGGACAACATTTTGGGATTTCACCAACGAAAGTGTGTTATTACAATTTCTTGAGAACTGGATTGATCTCAAATTTAGAGGTACCCCCTTGTGCCCGTTTTGTATTGGGACTGATCAAAGCAATGGCCGTAGGGCGACCATCTTGGAATTGGCAGATAAGAGCGTTATGGCTATTCTTAAAGGGACTATTGAATTTCATATACCAATTGCAAAAATAGATGAAAGAAGGGAAAGCAAAAGAAAGATCAAACAATGGTGGGGCACTAAGATCCATTTGGGATCTCTTGTTAATACTACTCCATACGAAGACGTGCGCAGTGATAACGACAGTACGTAGTGTCAAAATTTTCAGGCAATCTACACCATCATTAACACAAAAATATTACATAACATACATAGAACTTAAAACAAATACAAAGTTATATCGAGAGCGGTTGTGCAAATTTAGGTTTCTCGATAAAGGTGCAGATTACATCGAAAATTTGGTAATTAACTTGTCCGTACTGTCGTTATTACTTCATTGATCATATATCTATTCCAGTAATACGCATCCAACGAACATTTGTTGGTTAGGATCCAGTACCAATACTGGACCAAACCGTCGAAATTACTTACTAGATTCTATATATTTACCGGAAATGATCTTAATAGCAAACCTATCTTAGAGCGAGGCTTTACTATAATTGTTTGAGTGCATGTTGTCACTTTAATGAAATAAAAAGTGAAGTGCTGATTGTCTAAACCATGGTAGCTGGATAGGACCTAGGGGTGACTTTTTATATACAGATCTAATATGCAGTTGTGAATTCATGATACAAACATCAAACTAATAACTTGTTTGTACGAATGGAAGCGTGTTGGGGAACCCACATGGTCGGGCAGGTGACCCCCATACCTTTTCACGTCAGGGTGGGAAATCGAACCCCGGACGTATAGTTTAAGACGAGTGTGCCACCCGACCACCCTACAAATAAACATTTACATGTATCACGAGTGTGCCACCCGATGTATAGTAAACGTGCATTTATTGATAAAGAACTATTTCTTTACTTGTAAATATCATTGTTTATTGTATCCAAACAGTGCTCCATCAAAAGCTATATTACACGCATAGAAAACTACGTTGTAAAAAGGGTTAAAAGAGAGCGGTGATCTTGATTCAAATATATGCATTTTGAAGATACCATTTTCTAGATATGAATTTCTGCCGAAGGTGAAGACAACATAGGATCTTTTCAAATATGTAATTAAAGTATACAATTTAAACGCTTTTTTGAGATAATATGCTGACTAATCAAAAATAATCATGTCTTGTCAGTCTCTCCATGCCTCCATTTCATTATTTTCTTGTTCAAAATGATGATGTGCGCCAGTGTAGAAGACTACAACATGTAGCGCTAATCCAGTGTCTATATATTTTCATAACCCAATGATTTAGTATGATTCTACCATAAAGCTATAAAAACCCACACAGATATTGCGGCACATCAGTCCACTACCGAAGAAAACGGCATAAACCAATATGAACGAATGAATGATGGCTCAATGCACAAATTTATAATTAAGGTACATTGGATACCTGGTTTTACATCTGCTATATAGCTTTGTCCACGGGCTATAACAGTGCAGTTAATGTTTTGATCTAATCTAAAGCTACGGTAATATTAAGACAATACCAAATCAAAAGCTGATCTAATCTACTCATAATTGCAATAAAAGATGATTAAAAGAGCGTCGATACCGTAGAACAGTGGAATTTTTTGTATGACCGTTTGTGACGTCATCGAACTCCAATATCAAGAAAGCTGAACGCAGCTAAGGTTGATACAAAGAGATCGAAGAGCGTTATGAACATCCACAGAAACGTATTTTTGTTGGTTTATTTGTTGAAATGCTGATTTTTATAAAACGGCGATATGTTTCTTGGAAGAAGAGAAATATGATTTTTGGCGTATCTCTGAAAATCACGTGTTTGGCTCTAGATACACATGTATTCCTTACACTCATGTAATATATATATATATATATATATTTAAAGACGAGATCTGGGTAACAAGAATTGACTAGTTTGGAAACTTACGAAATCGTGTACATCTAAGATCTCGTTGAAGAAGACGAAATTTAATTGATAGTACGGCTGCATGGTGATGGAAGCACCGTTGAAATATTTAAAGGACAAATATCAACCAATATCTAGACAGGCCGGAATCACTCAGCCTGTTGTCTGAGAGTCTGTGTTAGATTTCGCCAAGGCCTACGGTTTAGTGCATATAGACACTATTGCCGTTCAATAAAGTAAACCAAAAGCTCTATTGTCGACATCACCATTTATATGCTGGTAAATCCAAGTAATGCCGCTTTGTCAAAATCAAAATGAAGAAACCTATGTGCTAACGATCGCTGAATGTGTCTAACGTCCTATCGGAAAAAGATAATTCTCTTAAATTCTTGTATTCTTCCATCATTGATCGGCAAATTGTCGGAAACAAGTCTTACAATACCAAATTCACAGCAATGCGATATATTGGGGAAGCATGATTGTAACTATCAAGAAAGAAGTAATATAGACATGAAAATTGTACATCTTAGTGGATTTTTTTCCTATCTTGGTACTTTAGTAAGTATATATCGAGGTAAGCTCCTCATTATAAGACTGGCAGGTCCTTGCTTTCCATTGCTGTACTTGTCACGCTACCATTCGCTGGACATTGTGTAAAGAAGTCGATCAGCCAAGAATGTGGCATGATTAGTTTCTTTGGGAATGCCAATTGCCGGTTGATGGTCTGTGTCAAACCTGAATTAAAACATTTTTATCATATCATCTTCAGTGTATTCACATCCACCGTTCAAAATCACGTCTAGCTTAAACTCTGGTTTGATATGTACAAAACATTAGATCGATATACCTCCACCATATCACGACGGAGAATTAACTTGTCAGTTTTAAGATAAGATTGTAAATAGTTCCGACAAATGGACTACATTGTTTCAACAGACAATATAATGGAGACGGAGTACACGTGACATCAGGGTTTAGTGTGTATACACCTAACGCGTATGTCAATATATGATGCACTGGTGCAACCAATTTTATATATAAGACAAGAAGACGCGTTTTTTTTTTTTTTTTTTTTTATGGAATGTCTATGGTAAGTAATAACTTTCGTTAGTTTCTGAATACTAATATGTACTCCCTTTTCTCCATATCATTGAGTACAATATAATGTAATTTCTCGTCATTCTGACACTTCAGATTCAAAGGGGATCAGTTATTATATGACAGTAGTTAACCCCGTGCCTGCTATGTATAATAAATTTTCTATAAGTGCCTAAATTAACGTGCCAGTTTTTAAAACATACCCGCACAAATAAACACAAACAATGACTGTTATGTTGATTTTTTATCATTATTTTATATACACCTTTCAATGAATCGATATTTTCCCCAAGCAATCGATGGATCCCCTTCACTTAGTACCTTTGACCCTTGGAAATGTTGCAGTTTAATATTGAAACAACAGCATTTCTGAAAATACTAATACCGATCACTTACATGAACTTTGAAAGTCGTTCACATCTCGCTTTCATATGTTAACATGTTAACATGAAAATGACCAAACAACACGTTATACCAAAACTTACTGCGTAGACGATGGTTTTCTTAAAAACATGCACATTACATTAGTTGATCTAAAGGTTATATACGAAGAATTTCAATGACTAGAAAATTATTTAGATAACAGAAAACGAGAGATTTAAAAAGCAGGACTTCGCTCACGAATGAATTTAGCGAACAGTTCTCCGCCGCTATTGCAGAAGAAAATTATACCACTACTATAATACCAAATGCCCAGCTACTATTCTGTCAGATCAACAGATTATAAACACTTAATTTCAAAACTCAAACATTCTGGAAATGCATGTTTATAGCCCAAATTGAACAAAATAATAAATATGATATTGCTAAGACAATAATATATTTCTGCTCTGGTATCTAAAATTTTTTCCAGTGGAAATATCGTTATGCACTAAACCCTTTACAGTCACGCAACGCCATTCATTGTCCGATGAATGTTTTACAACGTGCAAGAATCTCAATACAGATTAAACGTGCTGTTGGCTCTCAAGGTTTAAATGTTGGTCTTCATTAACTACTGAAGAGGTAAACCTGATCTCATTTTGAACAAAA